CTCCTGTTTCATGACACTCATTGCCTGAGTTTGCCTTAATATAGCACGAGCGGTATCCAGCTCTCGGAGTTCAATCATTTCGAGAACAATCTAGAACGGATTTAGAGAGACAACTGATATCAGCACATACCAAGCACAAAAGAGCAGTATTGGTACACACACACACACACACACACATATATATAGGGTCAGGTTCAGGGAAAACCCTAACAAAATGAAAAAAATGAAGAACACCCTAGTAACCATTCATCTATATAGTATGCACATGTCCATACAAGTAACTTGTGGCAATTTTTCCAGTATGCACATGTGCATAACATGCACAAGTGCATAGAACCCAGGAAACATCTTCAATTACTTGTATGCACATGTGCATGTCGTCACGGATGAACGGTTATCAAGATGTTCCTCAGTTTTTTTTTTTTTTGGGGGGGGGTTCCACTGAACCTCCCTATATATATATAATGATAGCCAACAAGAACATCATGGTGATAAACTAATGGAAAACCATTAGGATTTCGCTATACAAAATCAATTAAGACGACATTTTATGATTCAAATCTCAAATGTATGTGAGCTCGAAGATGGGGTGTCACCTAATGCAAATAAAGCACGTCATATTATTTGATGGGGGAACGTGAATATATATGATGTCATAGAATATCCTAAAAAAGCAAAGCTTACTAGGACTAGTGTACCTGAATCAACGACCAAAAGTATAAGCCTCCCATGTAAGGCTAAGAGCATGTTTGTTAGCAGCTTAATGAACTTAATGGAATTCACCGCTTATTCAATCAGCCGCACGTGAATGTTTGGTAGTGGCTTAATAATAAGCTTATCATGGGGAGCTTTATGCAAAAAGCCAGGTTTTTTCCAGAACTGCCTCTCCCAATTAAAAACACTCCTTCCATCTATGAAAAAACGTTCTCAAACAAAAACTTTCCCGACCTATACAGATAAATTAATCCACACAGACAACTTTATCCATACAGAACTTAATGAAAACCAACCAAACACCCCCTAAATCTCCAAAGATGCTTGATCTAAATGCTAGAATCCTACCAAATTGAAAACAACTAAATGCTTGCCTAGAATATCAAATTCCTAACATACAGAGCCCACTTAGCTAATGACATAAAAGACAACATCCATCATGCGGAATTCATAATGCTACAAGAATAAAAGGCAAAACACAAGTGAAGATATAGGAAATTACTAAAATAGCCTTTGCCTAGCCAAGAAGCTATTATGTACCTGCTCATATAAATCTTCAAGTTTCTTCCTTGGAAGCTTAAGTTGTGCCACTTGAGGCAATATTGCATCCCATCTACCACTGTTAATATCAGCTACAAATGTTTCAAGGCTGTCCACTGTATTCAGAGATACTTGGCACTCATTTTGCAACGTTTGGAAAGTTTGATGCAGAGAGTTCTCTTTGCAGAACTGAAGAACTATTTTTATCACACTGCAACCAAAAGTATAATAAAAACATTATAAAGGGTTTCTGGTTCACGATTAATTGAGAAAACAACAATGAACAAGGGGCATTGCATATCATTTGGCAAAAATATTATGCTTGGTAGTTACCACATTGGAGGATTCAATGGATTTCTTATAAGGTAAAAGAAAAGAACACTCAGGACAGTAACTAGAATATTGTACATCTAAGCTTGATATATATATATATAGAGAGAGAGAGAGAGAGAGTGAGGTCCAGGGGGAAAACCCCCAAAAAAATGAAAAACTGAGGAGCACCCTAATAACCGTTCATTTGTACAGCATGCACCGGTGCATACAAGTAGTTGAAGATGTTTCCTGGTTTCTATGCACATGTGCATACTGGAAAATTATATATCGGGTTAGATTCAGGGGAAAACCGCAAAAATGAAAAACTAAGGAACACCCTAGCAACCATTCATTTGTATGATATGCACATGTGCATACAAGTAATTTGCAAACAATTTGTCCGGTATGCACATGTGCATAAAAACTGAAAACAGTTCCAACTACTTGTATGCACATGTGCATACCATCCAGAAGAATGGTTACTAGGGTGTTCCTTGGTTTTTCATTTTTTTGGGTTTTCCCCTGAACCTCCATCTCTCTCTCTCTTTCTCGCTCTCTCTCTCTCTCTCTCTCTCTCTATATATATATATATATATATATATATATATATATGACAACTTGTATATCATCCCTTACTACTTCTAAGTATCTTCAATAATCTCAACTTCATGTAAACAAAGAAAAACAAGAATAAAGGCAAGTCCACCTTTAGGCATCTTATGGGAAAACATTCAGATATTTAAAAAGAGCCACAAAAAAGCATCAAGTTTAGAAAAGCTCTACTAAAAGTATGACCTCTTCATATAAGTGATGCAAAAAACAAAGAAACCATAAACCAAGGCCACGGTAAATGACGGCCGCCGCCCGCCATAACTAGTGCATAAAAATGACCAGAACACAACCTTCTTTACAGAGAGAACAGAGCGTCGACTTTCAAAAGATAATGGTAATTCACAGTCCACAAACAGAATAGAAGCTCATAAATGGTTTGACACCATGTTTAGCAATTGACAAGCACTAAATTTGATTATCAATCCACATGAACCTGGTCCTGGACAATCAGTTATCACATACTCGACATGACGAAGAATCGTGTGAGAATAGGAGTTAAGGTGAGAAGTGTAACAAGGGATTTGGACCCTTGATCACTTCTAATCCCAAACCAACCCATGAATTGTGCTTTAGAAGAGAATTGATCCAGTGTATCTCATCAGTGTTAATCTAGTGGTTCTCTTCAATTAAGATTGATCCAAGGGTGGAGATCCCTTCTTACCGTTCTCTCCGGAACCCAACACTACTCGACATATGCTACCAATCGCATCCCTTCATCTTCTGATCTCCGTGTCATCCTTCCCGAAACCATTGGGTTAGTTAATGGAATTGCTCATAACTTATATTGTTCTGTAACTTATTTCCCAAATTGTTATGTTTTTTTTCAAGAGTAGGGGGCCAATGGTCGACTGGCAACGGTTATGAAAGTCCTAAACTTTGTCAACATGGCTCATCACACATCCCGTAGCACAAACTAGTGTAATGCCGGTGCTAGAGACGCTCATTGTTGGTTGGGCCATCTCTCTATGTTCTGAAGCAGCTAAAAACAGAATAACTCGGCTATATATATCTATATACTTACCAGCAAACAGAAAACCATCAAATGCAATGGACCACCAATGACTAGTTCACAAAGTATACCAAGGCCAGAATCTGTATTTAAGGTTTACCACAAACAAAAGATTATTAATTTGGTAATAACTTAGGGCCTGTTTGTTAGCAGCTTAACGAGCTTAATAGGACTCGCATCTTATTAGGCCAGCCATACATGACTGTTTGATTGTAGCTTAACAATACAAAAAGTGACTTACTCTTCTATGGGGGAGCGTTATGCAGAAACCCAAGTTTTTTCCTAAACCTGCCCTTCTCAATTAACAAACTAGATCCTCTCACTTACGAAAAACCCTCCCAGACAAAAACATTCTCAATCTATACCAATATATTAATCCACCCAGACAGCTTTATCCATATAGTAAGGGTCTGTTTCTTAGTAGCTTAATGAGTTTAATGGGACTCAAAGCTTATTCAGTCAGCTAAAAATGACTGTTTGGTAGTGGCTTAACGATACAAAACGTGACTTATTCAGTAAGCTTCTATGGGAGAGCTTTATACAGAAAGTCTAAGTTTTTCTAAACCTGCCCTTCTCAATTAAAGAACACGCCCTTCCATTGATGAAAAAACGTCCCAAACAAAGAACCTCCCAATATCCATACCGACTAATTAATCCACCCAGAGAGCTTTATCCATACAGTAATGCCAACATACATATGACATTAAAAGAAAAATTAAACGGAAGAAACATATGTTAACTTACTCTCGTGCTTCAATTTCTAGGGCAGACATCGTTCTGGGTCGTTGCTATCGGGAGAAGGAATGGGTTTAGGGTTTACCGCGAGCGAGCCCGTTTGTCAGTTGGGTTAAAGCAACACCACGGCAATGGCGCTAGAAGGGTTCTCACCTTTCAGAAACCCAAATGGCGTCAAAGACGATATATCAGCAGAACTGTAGGATCCGGCCTCCGGGGATAATATTTATCTGAAAGGTTATTTATTACTGTTTTGCTAACAAACAATCGATTTTATAACCGGCAATAATAAGCTATCCATTTCAGTTATATTTATATTTATATTTTTATATATAGGATTAGGTTAACGTTAAACCAACTTGTTTTTTGTGAGACCATTTTTTTACATTTGAAATTTTATAGCAAAACGCTGTAAAGGTAAAAAAAAAGCCAAACTTCACAGCAAAAACACTGTGAATGTTTTCTTTACAGCGTTTCACTGTGAAATTTCAAGCGTAAAAAGACTCGCTTTATTTTTTGACTCGATAATTTAAATTTGAAAAGATTAGAAATCTAAATATAAATATACCATTATTTAAATATATCTTATATTAGTTACATAATTATTCGATTACTGTCCACTTAATGGATAAGATATCAAATGAGGTCTTTTGGACAGTCGGAATTGCGACTATAATTGATAAAACCGAGGGAGGGAAAATTATGCTGATTTGAACATGTTTGTAAGACGTAGGATACTGATGACGACATCAGTATAATTACAAGAACATGGGAGTAGTTGAGGATATGTAAGCCTTTGCTTCTTTTTTCACTATTTTAGCAATTGTCAGTACTGCCTTTTATGATTCTCTAACTGTTTTATATTATGTCGTCCCTTGTATGCCCCAACTTCGTTCATTATTCAGTGTACATGTCGCATGTTCGCACACAATCTTATGTTACTTTGCACGCTCGTCCCCTTGGTTTTTTGCAAATCAGATATTTTCGCAAAGTCATACCTTACTGATATACTGAGTTGGTTTGGTTTAATTATATCTGGTTTTGTTGATAACATAACTTTTAATGAAGATTATATTAAACATGAGATCACAATAAAATGGCATTCATGAATTTATCCTAAAAAGTATACATGTTTTAAATTGTAGAATCGATCATTCGAAACTCTTTTAACGATATTACGATATCTAATGTAAAAACGACGGGGTCCAACGTATACGGTACACGTTACGACAAAATCATAACCCCGACCTCGAGCCCCAAATCCGAAAATATACATATCAAAACACGAGCATGAACGGTTAAACTAGATCCCACCCGGTCCACGCATCTTCTCAACGATATGACGTCCTTTCTCTTCAATATTCCGTCTCTTTTCTTCGAGCTTCTCGCCCATCCGTTTCCGTAGCCCCAACATTTTCGCTCTCGTTCCCATTCTCCGTAACCGAGCATCTTCCCCTTCCATCATGTCGTTTTCTTCCACTGCCACCATCGCCTGTGGTGGTGACGGATGTTGCCAGTTCGAAGACGTAACTTCTCGGTTCTCTTCGATCGACTGAAGAGCCGCCTCTTGCAGCGGAAATTCCTCACTTTCCAGCAACGCTGTTTTCGACTCATCTGGCAGATTAACATTTGACACCACCGCCTTTTGATCATCCAAAGAATCTATGAGCTTATCTTGTATGCTTTCCGTACTACGAGCGCTACTGGTACGGGCTTCTTGTACTTCAAGTGGATGAGTTTCTTGTGAAGATTGGGCGCGATGGACTTCATGTACAATAACAGATTCAGCGGTGGGCTCGGTGGTAACTTCCGGATTTGTCCAAATGAACGGGGCGGATTTTTGTGGAACCCAGTCATTCTTTTCAGCTAACATGAACGGAATCGTTACGCTTTCGGAGTTTGGGAGTACCATGGTTTCACGAATAGCCGCCTGTGAGAGTAAAAACGATCACATGTCAGAAACTTCACAAAAGAAAAACGTCCAAACAGTTGCACACACAAAATAGAAAACGAAGTGAAAGAATTTCCCTAAAATGAAGAGCTATCGACGATAATGAGCTACTCGAGCTCGTTTATCTCGAGCTTGTATCGATCTCGAACACAAAAATAAAACTCGTTTAACTTAATGAGCCGAGCTTCATAACACCAATGTTCAACTCCACACGTTCAAAAACTCGATTAAAGTTTTTGAGTCAAGTCAGGTTGAGCCATTCGAGCATACACTTTTTCGAGAATACATAAGTTGTCTATGTGAATTAATCTCTCTGTATAGATAGGAAGGTTTTTGTTTGGAAGAGTATTTTCATAGATAGGAGCGTGTTTTTTAATTGGGAAAGACAAGTTCGGGAAAAACTTGGCTTTCTGCATAAAGATCGCCCTAGAAGCTCCACTTTCTATATCATTAAACCACAACCAAACATTCATGTATGGCTGACCGAATAAGCTGCGAGTCTCATTAAGCTGCTAATAAATAGGCCCTTTAAGTGTCCGCTTTCAACAAAGATGCAACTGAAAACAAAAATGAAACTTGCACATGAAAAATCGAACTAACCTTGAATTTACTGATTATAAACAATGCAATATGTCCGCTCGTTATCTTGTGATCCCCAACCGAAGACTCGAGACTAAAATCAATATCGGGCATGGATGTAAAACCAAACCATAACTGATCTGAAGGAGGAGGTTTTATGTGCACTCGGAGTGTTCCTCGAAGAGTTGTTACCCGTACCGCCAATGAAAGGGGCACCTTCACAAGGGAGAAGATAAATTTAATAGAAACAAGAACGAAGTCCTAGTAGGGGTCAGTTTAAATGAAAACCAAAATATTTTGAGAACTCGGGAACCAACAAATTCATGAATTATTCATTATGAATAATCCTAAAATATTCATGAATAACTCATGGATAGGTGAATTATTCATTATGATAACCCTAAAATATTCATGAATAATCATGCCTTTTCATTATTTATAATATTCATGAATAGTTGGTTCCGGGGTTCTCAAAGTTTTTATGGCTCCCATTTGAACCTGCCTTTTCCCTAGTATTCATGCAACTCAATTTTGTTTTATTTGGGTCAACAGGAGACTTCAAGAACCAAATTCTAGCCATCGGCACCGCCAAAAAGCAAAAAAAGAAACTTGCATTCAGGGGCAGACCTTTGAAGGCCCCAGCGGGGTCCCGTGCACCCGCTCAATTGATTTTCACAAGTAGAATTCTTGTGGGGTATGAAAGGTGCACACACTAAACTTTGAGGGGTGCACCGGGATGTTAGAAAATACAAGGGACATCAACTAGAAACCGAGGAAGTCCCTCTTAATCAACCAAAATTTTAAAAATCCCTTGAAATCAACCAAAAAACTTAAAAAATCCCTTGTAACAGTGTCGAAGTAGATCACTTTTTTTATACTCATAATGAATAAGCACCTGAGCCCAAAATTATTGTTCTACAAACCTGAGAGACTTGTTTGGCGACACAATTCAGCACGGATTTCCACTTGGATACAGCAGAAGACACTTGTTCATTTCCCTTAAAACTTTTGATCTCCTCTGCATCAAAATTATCAGAGGTATCATTTTGTTACAATCAAACAAATGTTCAACAAGAAACAAGATGCATGTTCATTGTGAAGAAACCAATAAAATTTCGAAAAGCATATTCAAGATGATGAATTCTAAGTAAGGATATTATTCAACTTACCCAATTTGCGGATTTCATCGCCTTTTTGTTCCATGGCCTGATTTTTTTGTTCATTTAGCTTCAATTGTTCTCCAAAGTACTCAAAACCTTCAAGAAGATCCGTGGTGACATCATCCACCGACTTCGAATCTGAATTTGTATCCAAGCTTTCTGGGTTTTCTAGCTCCTGAACTTCAAGCCTTGTTTCGATATCTAGCACCGCCCCACCATAATATTCAATATCGATTTCCATGGCAACCACTTCTTTCAGATCTGTTGGTAGAACCCTCATACCATGAATAAATGGCGGGATATTTCCGGGATCCACACCAGTGCAAATGATTTCGCCTATGTAACTTGGGGTCCTTATGGTCGACAGTGTTCTCTATAAACAAATAATCAGTAAAATATAGTTAACAAAACACCAATTTTTGGCATCGATAATGTGAACCATTTTCAGCATTAAAGATTCGAGATTCTAAAGCAAGATGTGATCTTGAGACATTTTCTTGAAAAACATCATTTTTTACGCATAGATCATAAAAACCAAACCAAACGAACCCAGTATATCCCACTCGAAGGCATGGTTTGGGGGTGGGTGGGGATGTACATAGACCCGTCTCCTACCCCAAAACGACACATAAAATGTAGAGTAAAGTTCAATTTTGCTCCATAAAGTTCGCATTTTTTAACGGATATCGTCCCTACACTTCAAAAACTTGGCTTTGATCCCTCACGTTTGTCAATTCCAACAGTTTTGGTCCCTCTGTCCAACAATCGTTAACTTTTTCCGTTAAATCCAGTTGAATGAGAGGTATTTTAGTCAATTTCACTATTTTTTCTTAATGTTATATAAAAAGTAAAAAACATTTCATATTTTTAATTTTAAATTGCAAAACAAAAAAAATTAAAATGAGAAGGATAACTACCACCTTTCGTTTTTATTTTTTCTTTTCTTTTTTTGTTTTACAATTTAAAATTGAAATGTAATATGTTTTGTTATTTTAATATAATGAAAATAGTGAAAATTACTAAAATACCCCTCATCAAATTGGACTTAACGGAGAAAGTTGACGACCATTAGACATTGAGACCAAAATCGACGAGAATTGACAAACATGAGGGACTAAATCAGAGTTTTTGAAGTTTAATGCAAATGTTAGGGACCAAACTTGTACTTTACTCTAAAATGTATAAATCAAACCAAATGAACCCAGTCTATCCCACTCAAAAGCAGGGTATGGGGGTGGGTGGGGATGTACATAGACCCGTCCTCTATCCCAAAAGGAGATATAAAACGTATAGTTTCATCTATTTAAGTTTTTAATAGAGCTCACCGTGTACCACAAGAAAAAAAATGCTACAAACCTGAATTCGTGCTTGTATAGATTTCCTCAACTCCACATTGCTTTTGGCATCAAAAAATAACCGTGATAGTAACAAATTGCAGCATAACGTTCCATCATCACTTGTTATTTTATCAATAGAATCCGTATCAGAACTTAAGGGGCCTTGACTTCTGCTTCCCGATTGGGTAGATCTTGGCGTTAATGCTTGGATAATTTTCTCTTCAACTGCATAATTAGAGTTCTTTTGTGTTTGCGAGAGCCTTGAAGATCCACCAACCGAACTCGACTCTTGCACACCACTAGATCTTTCACTGACCCTTTTATCTTCTCTGCCAGAGAACGAACGCCAATTAGTTTTATTCTCAACACCACTTTTAGAAGTCTTCTTTGCAAGTTTCTTCAAAAAGTGGCGAACCTTTGATGATGAACCATCTATCTTAATCGACTTATCCCCTAAATCTGGGTTAAAACCTATGGTGGGTTTCAGAAATGAAGGATATTCTACGTTTAAGGATCCCAAGTAATTGTGAAACTCTAAACGCAGCTTGTCAAACCATTTAAGTTTCTCTTTGTCATCAGAGGAAGCAAGACGTAGGGATTTACACCATGATTCCTTCTCAGAAGATGTCTCAAAATACATGTAGAATAACTTGCTTCCATGATATATTACTGATGACTTGCTCTCCACTTTGACAGGGTACTTTTTGGCCCTGTAAAAGTAAAACGGTGAAGAAATTTAGTCATAGAACAATAAAGATTTAAAATACTACTTCAAGATAACTACTTTCAGAAGATATAATGAACATGTTTTATCTGAAGTCCGTTATATAACTGCCATTAAGGGGCTGTTTGGTCGGTTTTTCATTATCTCCTCTATGAATAAAGATGTCTTTGTGGATTAATCTATCTATATAGATTGTGAAGGTTTTTGTTTGGAGGGTTTTTTCATATATGAAAAAAGCGTGTTTTTTTATTGGACTATACAGGTTTGGAAAAAACTTGTCTTTCTGCATAAAGCTTCCTCCTAGAAGCTTAAATAAGTCACTTTCTATGTCATTAAGCCACTACCAAATAGTCATTTATAGCTGACTGAATAAGCTGTGAGTCCCATTAAGCTCATTAAGTTGCTAACAAACAGGCATCTCCACCAAGAAGAGACAGGTGGAGGATGAGAGTGTAAGATAAGAAAACATGCCCCAATAGTATTTATAGCGAGTCTTAAGAAAAAGAAAAGCTTATGGTCTGAATAGGGTCGCATCGGAGGCCAATGTAGCCTTAGCCAAAAGGTAAAGTATTGTCTAGTTAAACTTAGGGGCCGTTTACCAAAACTCTTATCAGGTAAGTGCTTACCGGGTGTCACTTACCTTACCGGTGAGTATGACAAGGACCAAGAATCTTACTAGGTAAGAGGGATAGCAAGGATCAAGAATCTTATTAAGGGTAAGTTCTTTGGAGGTTTGGCTTAAATCCTCCTTCAGTTGCTTTCATTTTAGATTTTAAGGCCTTGTTGTCCAAATAGAAAAAGAAAGCATCAAAGAACAAACCAAAATCTTTTAGTAATTATCATTATGTATATCTATGCTAAAGAAAATGAAATTCTAGAGTCTAACCATCTGCATCTCTAGCGATGTCTCAAAACTTGCTTCACCTCAACGGCCTGTGTTAGTTGACTGATTCAAAATAATCAGTTATCTACTGTCACGTTTCCTATTTTCAAAATCCATGTCACTCTAGGGAAAGCGTCCACAATATTAAAGAGGTAATTAGAAAAAGAAATCCACCAAAAATGCCAAAACTTACAAGTTCAAAAATGCTACTAGCTTTAGATTCAAAGGTAAAGACCTTGGTCATGTTTGGCAACCATGAGTGAGCTTATTTTTTGAGCTTACTGAAAAAATCCCGTTTGGTTAGTCATATACTATGTTATAAAGCAACCTTTTGAAAAGCTACTTCAAGTAGCAGATCAATAAGCTCCAAGAGCTTTTTCCAATTATGCCCCTTATATTTTTCCAATTTCAACATGTCCTTTTAGGTCATTTTACATTGTCATCAAGTTTATTAGCTAGTTTTTACCAAATATGACCAGTTTATCAGCTAAAAGGCAACAATTATCATTTCAGCCAACAGTTAGCTTATCAACTAGTTTGCCAAACATAGCCATAGTCGGTAAGACTCGCAAACAAAACAGATACAAATTAAGTAGTAACTTTTCAGGTGCTCTTCTCAATTGTTCACAAATATCATGTATGCACCATAAGAGAAATGCATGGGCCTTTTAACCCATTATACAATCCAAAGCACCTCAGTCAATAATCTTAGAAGCAGCAAAAGCCGAAAGATAAGCTTAGAGCATAACGAGACTCTGCAAGGAAAAAGATAAGTATGAATGAAATTGAATTCCTCTACACCAAGTTGGTGACAAGATGTACCTAAAACTACTGAATGAGAATTTTTTTAAGTTGACCAATCCCCAAGACTTTTTATCCTGAAGCACTAGACAATAACTCTTGTGTAACTTGGCTTTGATATAAATGACAAGACGAAGGATCGTGTAAGAATAGGAGCTTGGTTTAAAAATGCGCGCATTATGCGCTCTGATGAGCGATGCGCTCTGATGCGCTGGACAGAACGCATCAAAGAGGCTGATGCGATGCGATTCCATGATGCGAACGCATCACCTTCGCATCACACGATGCGTGCATCACTTAGGCATCAGCGCATCATGTATGTTGCGTTTTGGGCTCCCTTTTTTAGTGTTTAGTTGGGCTTTTTTTAGTTGGGCTTCTTAGTTATGTAAAATAGAACCTGGGGTTAGAGAACCCGTGTTGGGGTTTGATGATGCTGATCTTGGGGAGTATTAGTTGGTCACTTGGTTGGTCATTTAGTTTAGGGATTAGGACTATTAAACATGTACTTGTGTAATTGTGTTCTTCATGGTAGTAGTTTGTGTGTTATGTACTTCTGTTATTCTGATTCACGAACTTTTTAAGATTCTAATGCCACTTTTTTAACTACTTTATGTTATAAATGAAGTATTCTGATAGGTAAGTATTTTTAAGGTAGAAATTGATATGTAGAATTAATTTATAAATACTTTTTGAATACCGGGCGCATCACGTGCGTGATGCGAGCGCATCAGCATCACGCATCACGCATCGGCTTCCGGGACCCTTAACGCATCGGACCGCATCGCGCTTTTTAAAACCAAGAATAGGAGTTAAGGCGAGAAGTATAAGAAGGGATTTGGACCCTTGATCACTTTTTTTAATCCCAAAACAACCCATGAATTGCGCTTTAGAAGGGAATTGATCTAGTGGTTGTCTTCAATTAGGATTGATCCAGGTGGATATCCCTTCTTTCCCTTCTCAACATAACTTTCATTCTCACCGGAACCCAACCCTAAATGACAAATGGCACCATGTATTCTTATTTCTTAGATGCTTAAAACCTTATACCAGAGACAGTGAATAGACGAGACATGTACTCATAGAACCAAAGAAGTCAGCCACCAAAAGATCACACAAGGATTTGGCAATGTAACAGGTTATTGCACAAGCATTGATGTCACATTCTGGTGATGCCCAAAGATTACATCACAATGTAAATTTAACAAACTCCTTTTAGGTTGAAAAGCACAAATATCATCACTAAATCCAAATCATGTCACACAACGTGACAGGTACACTCAAGCTAGAGCCACCATATTGAGGGACAAAAAAATAGTCATTACCAAAATGTGGACAAACCAAAAGTCCAATCAACAACCAAATTAAGTAAAGCAAATGAAGCCCGGAACAACGAAGCAAAAAAAAACATGAAATCTTATCTCTTTATGTCAAAATATGAACTTAACAAAGCAAAGGGTCCCGAGGAGATCGGCTTTTGTCAGTTTGTGTAACCTTTCAATGTAACAATCAAAGAAAAAGAAGAATAAACTCCAACAAAACACATCGATAAAGGGACTGTTAAGTGGACATGGTGTCAGTGATTCAAGGTACTGCAAACTCTCGACTGAAGCAACATATGATGGTGAAGAAATCGACCCAATTCCAGCGACTGCATCAGCAAAACTGGCCCTAGACTTTCCAGTTATATGACTGCTAATTGTTGACAGTCAACCGGGTATGGCCAGGATCAAAACAGAAGCAGTGAAAGCAACAATTGTCTTCGAGCAGTGCAATTTCTGACCAAGGTGGAGAGGGATAGAGGCACCGGCAGATAAGCTGTTATGGCTAATCAAGAGGGGCTAGACTTGGTAGTACAACCAGTTTTAAGAGAAGCAAAAGCCTAAGAAAAGATGATATATTATTCAAAGAACACAATAATATATAGAGTACATAAGTGAGCCAGGGTACCACAACATAAACATATAAACAACTAAACATAAAGGGCCATCAGCCTCGAGGCGTTTTCCCTCAGCGAGGCGAGGCGTAAGCTTCGAGACGGAGATATATACACCAAAATATGTATATATACTACACAAATATATATACATTTATATACAATATATATATAGCACTAAAATACTAAGGGTGCTAGTTCAATGGTTCTTGACTGAGGAAAGAGTGAAACCGTGAGATAGGCTGAGAGGGTGTGGAAAAATTGGTTGCTCGGAGGAAGAGGAAGAGTCAAACCACACTTTTCGATTGAGAGGAGAAAGTACTAGCTTCTTGGGTTTTAAAATATTAAAAGTGCACATTGGGGTCTTTGGACTTTGACTTTTAGTTTTTTAAAATAAAAAGACACTTGTCCTATAAAGAGAAGTACTACTACTGTCATAAAACTTATAGAAAAAGCCAAAAAACAATTATCAAAGCAGATCATCTACGAGTACGCCTCGACACTGCCTCACGCCTCACCAAGGCATAAGCCTCGTCCAGAGTCCAAGACCGCACTGACTCAGGTGCGGGTTTGGCCCACCTCGCTACGATACGCCTCAAACAATTTTTAAAACCATGTTGAGGAGTGTGTGTGAACTTTAACGTATTTAAATATTATACTCTTTAAAAAACATAAAAAGGAGCCTATTATATCTAACAGTCTCTTTAAGAAAGTCACAATCATAATACACAGTTTCAAGTAAAGAGAACATCACCACTTTCTGGAGGGTAAATTTGTAGCAGAAACAGCTTCCACTGTGCAGCTTAATAGAGAAACTTTTGTGAGGGTGCCATCTGGTTCTGTAACGACGAGTGATTGATCCTTGATGCTTGCATACTTCCGGACAGGTGAAACCTCCAATATCTCGATTTTACGTTTTTGTTGACGTAATCCTTTATCAGTTGGCGGTGAAGTCTTTGGAATCCTTTCCTTTTCTAAAACCCAAACCCATCCCTGAAAAGACAAGTAGTTTATAATGAATTACATAAATGAAGTAAGCTTGCTTAAGTTCCAAAAACATTACACAATTGGCATTTAACAGAAACTGCTTCAAAGATGTGAGCAGTTTATCAGTATGTAAAAGGATGGACGACATGAAGTCAAACAAACAACAGAAGTTCAGAAATGTCAAAAAGATAACATAAAGATGAAATTCCTGAACCTTACAACTAGTAGGCCAATAATCCCACACAATAATATTACAATATGCATATTACTGCATAGCATTTAATTAGTATTTTCCTGCAAACTTTTTCTCACTAGGAAATAATATGCATGGGATCAAGGTTTTACAGAAGAGAGATGGATGGCTGCATTTCTTTCAAGAATAATATGTTCTGTGAAATGTGAAGTTTCTGGAAAGTGGAATATGAACTGTCCTCCAATATGCTGTACTTTTTATAACTTATAAGTAAACTTGCAACACTTTCATGCATTTGTGTGGTACATAAAGAAAATACAAATGCATAAGAAAACATTAGTAGATGAGCTTGTTTGTGATGCATTTTTTATGGTACATAAGGGGTTTTGATGCCTTTATACATCAACATAATAAGCCCATGGAGAGTGAATCTTCAACCAAAAGAGTTCAGACACTATACTGTTGCTCGATCCTGTAAAGATCTTTGTATGAAATATGGGGTTCAATATTTTAACAGAGATTGGTACTAGTGGACTCCTGAAAAATATTCCAACTCTAAGGTCAAGTCGTTCATTTGGACCGTATGCACATGTGCATTCAAGTAATTTGTAAGCAATTTGTCCGGTACACACATATGCATAACATACACATGTGCATAAAAAACAAGAAACAACTTCAATTACTTGTATGCACATGTGCATACACTCCAGATGAATGGTTACCTGCAAGGGAGTCCCCAGTTTTGCATCTTTTGGGGGTTTTACCCTGAACCACCTCCCTCTCCAACTCTATTCTCAAGAATACAAAAGATGTACCAAACATTGCAGACAAACTAGGTCATACCAAGCCCAGTGCAGGCCAAAAAGATAAGCATTTTGGCGGGGGTCTATTCACTACTTATTCCAATCTCTAGTTATTAACACATTTCTTAAAATGAAACTTGTATGAGTGATCATCCAAATCCCTTATTTCCATTCATACCCAACATCTTCAGATACAGCAAATAGGACATTAGATTCCACTAATAAGTAAGAACAAAGAAACTGAACAGTTGCAAATAGCAAGATGAAAAAAGGGGGAAACTGACCTGTTTATTAGGGAATGAGAACTGGAGTTCCTCTCTTCCAGATGATCCAGATTTCGTGATCTTAACGTCTTCTTCATCTACTTTTTTACTCAATTTTCGTATCAAGAACAAGACTCCTAAAACTTCAACACCAACAACAGCCAATGCCCCAAAAACGAACCCGACAAACAATGCAACAATCACCATAACCGTGATTTAGATACTGATCACACAGTCAATCGACATAACCCACTTTCACGAATGCATAAAAACACAAATCAGACACCAAATCGATCGAATATTCCGCATTGGAAATCAAAAGTATGCACTGATACGTCAGAATTTGGGTTCCAATAAACTGGAGAATCAAAAATCGAGGCAAATAACTAGTAATTTCAAGTGGGTTTTAATTGCCGGAACCAACAAATTCGAGATAAACTGAGAGAGAGAGAGAGAGAGAGAAAGACACGGAGAAGAAAGACGAAGACGTGGAATCGAAAGGTCGACTTATGGAGATGGTATTGGATTAGGGAATCAAAGAATGATTTGGTGATGGAGATTGGAGAGAGGCGGAGAGCATTTTCAATTTTATTACCCAACAGTAGTTTAGAAGATGGTAGCAAATGGCGTGGTGATCGCGCATTCAACGCTACGGAAAAGAAACCAAAGAACATTTTTCCAAACGGTGGAATTGGTTCACCGAATCTTTTCGATATTTGGTATTTAGAGCATCTTCAACAATCATGTTTAAGTAAATAAAGATTTAAAAAATATATTTTAAATTTCTTATATTTAAAATAAGATATTTGTTCAGTATTTGTTTATGTTTATCTGCATGTTGCATGAATTAAAACATGAAGCTTTAATAAATTGTACATATGTATAATTTACTTGTAATTTTGAATTTTAAGTAATATACATCTATAAACAGTACTTAATGCATAAAAAATTTGTTTTAAAGAGTTTTTATCAAATGCTTTATAATATAGTATATATTTTTTTTAGAGATTTTAACTTTTAATACTCTATTTTAGAAAGAAAAAAAATAGCATAAATTTCTTCTATCAAAATATATTGAATAAGTCAATTTCTATATCAGTAAATCAATATCAACTAGTTATATATAGTTGAACGAATAAGTTATGAGTCTCATTAAGTTGCAAACAAACGTATCCTTGGTTTTTCTTGATTCTTATTTAATGACTAATAAACAATTCCTAATTTATGTAGTGAATATTTGATTTTAGAAATAACTCGATTTTTCACGGTCTAAGGTGGCATTTGTTTTTTAAGAGGTGATGAAGTCTGAAGTCTTATTTCACTTCTGATTAATAAGAGGTGTTGCTGAAGCCTGAAATCAGAATCTATAAGACTGTTTGTTTTTGTAAACTGACAACCGTCTGAAGTCTGAAATTGACTCAATAGTTTGTTTTTGTAAAATCAGGTGCAAACATTTTGCAAAATTCTTTTAATTTTCATAAAATTTTCATTGTCGAAATTCATCTCAACAATTGCTTAACATATGGAACACGGTAAGAACCTTTTGGATACCTTTCAGACTTCTGATGCTATCAAAATGCCGCCGGTGAATTTGTTTGTCAAAAGATCAATACTTTTGATAGATAATAGATCATCAATAGAAGTTATTGTTTCACATTAATTTTTTAAGCTAACCTATACCTACAGACATTATACACACACATATATATATATATATATATAGAGAGAGAGAGAGAGAGAGAGAGAGAGTTGGAGAGTGCATTTCATATGGATGATGAAAGAACTGTGACGTCCCTACTATAGAAAGAAACAATAGCCAAAGAGAATCAGAGAAAATGAGAAATAAGAGAAATTAATATATTAGTTTACCTCTTATTTATTCAGACTCTATTATCTATTAAGTGATAAGATACCCTGAAAAAAAAAAAACAGTATGAATTACAAAACGTCTGACTGAATTAAATATAAGTGGTAATTAAGAGCTGAAAATGAAAAAACAAGCAAGACCTAAAACAACAGTCATAATAAATGAACTTTATGATTTTCTATAAATATATTGATCATAATAAATGAATCATGATCATTTTTCATAAATTTTCTGCAACAACTGCTTTGTGTAATAACTAAATAAATTATTTTTGGATCCTCCTCCAATTTCATGTTTTTTTTATGAAATCTAACTTGATTCGTCACAAATACGTAAAAGACAAAAATACCCATTGATTATTGTACAGAAAAATCATCAAAATGACCAGTATATATAACGTAATTATTAAAATGACCATTTTTACATATATATCAAAATGACAACAGATTTCGTTAAAGCGTTTAACGAGATTGGTGAATTCCTTATATCAGTCCCACTTTTTTTTTTGGCCAAATTCGCCAAAAACCCCACTTGTTGTGCAAAATTCTGACTTTTTATGACAAGTGAGACCAATGTAAGCATTTCGTCAAACAGACAAAGTACTTTAGAAAAAGTACCAGTCAATTTGACAAATATATGAAAATGACCATTTTGTTAATTACGTATACGTATAAGGGTTATTTTGGTAATTTCCCATTATTAATGTTGTATTTAATTAATAAATGGTTTTCTAAATACTATTATGACATGTGTATTCACATGTGAATGCAACCAATTACAACTATATTTTTAAAAGACAATTATCTCATTTAATATTATTTATATTTTAATACCATTTGAAAACCAAACAAAATTTTTAAGTGGATGAAATAATATTTTATATTATATTATATGAAACAAATAAGTAAACATCGAATCTATGGGTATTTGAATCCGAGTCTCAAAAAAAGGAATTGATCTACGGTCGATTTCATAAGAATTTACAGTGGTTGTAGTATTTTAACTGCCGCAATTTCCACTCCTGCTAATAGTTTAGCAAACTGATTATTGAACCCCTTTCACGCTCATGTCACGTCGAGGTATTGCAGAAGAAAAAACTGCAAAATCTGATCCCACCAAGCGTATAATTAAAGCATATCCAAATTCATTTTAAATATTCAATAATCAAATTCATCTGATATGTTTTTTTTTTCTTTCCAAAACATTATACGAACCAAACTCCACCTAAATAGATATACGAATTATGATGTATTGAACCACAATTCGTTGATTTCACCATCCGACATGGTACGGTAGCAGATTTTATATCTGAATAAGTATTATGCAGCAACAACCCATCTGGCATCCAATATAATATATTGTCGTGAAACCTACCTTCCATTAATACTTCTTCACTTATAACAAGAATACAACCAAACAACGTTTCTAATATTTATATACTCACACAACTTTTTCAGCAACCGATCATATGCTCGGTATCAACGACAAATGCATAAATCTCGATAAGGTCATTCACCTCAAATAATGTTGTCATGAACAATGATTAGGCATGGCAATAGGCCAGAGATGAGGCAAGTTTTCTAATCCCCGACTTCCATGAACGCCCCCTGACCCCGACCCTGGTCCCCGACGGGTACGGGGATTAATATCTCGTCCCCGTTTTATTTTATGGTCAAACCCTATTCCCGATCAAGACCTAATTTTAGAAAATAAATAATATATATTATGTAAAATATATAATAAAATTATATACGGGGTACATGACGAGTCGGGGAATACGTTCCCGAGACCCACTTTAGCAGGGAATCCCCGTCCTTGTTCGAGTCACGTGAGTCGGATTCCCCACCGTATTGAAGCAAATCAGCATCCCCAACAATAATATATTATCACCTTTGTACAATAACAAAAGCACATGGCAACCGGTACAACATTAAAAGACTACAAAAAATGAAAATAAAAATAGTTGAAGAAAATTAAAATAAAAATTTAAAATAAACAAATAAATGAAATTAAACACACAAATAATATATACATATAGCCTTAATCATCTGAAAACTTCATATATTGTGATAACCGTGAGAACCTTTATCTTAAGATATTGTTTCACATGATTTTTTTTCATTTACGGCTGATATATATTTTAATATATTGATAAACATATATTTGTTTCACAATGTGTTGTTTCATGTATATGCGGTTTTACAGTGTGAATTTTTTTACCTGTCACTTTTGTTTCATAAACTTGTTAAAAAACGATCACATTGTAAAATAAATAAAGGTTATTTTCAAAAGAAACAAAGCATGACCAAATAAACAGTGTATTCGAAGACTTATTTGGTAACAAATAAAAATAGAAAACCCAATTCGTGATATTTCACATACCACAAGGACCAAATCTGTAACTCACTCTTGTTTTAATTATTTAATATTGAATTAAGGGGGTGTTTGTTTGCATGTTAATAGTATTTTTAAGAGACAACATCTTAATCGTGTAAAAATGGATCTTGTTTGGCAAAAAATTAAACCCTCTGAACCCTTGTCAAAACCCGTGAACCATTTTTTATCCGGGGTACATCTAAATCATTCAGAAGTCTCGTCCTTCCACATTTGCCCTTCAAGTATCGATCTCTCTCTTCCCACGTCAATCCACTCCCTCTGACGATTTTCTATTTCCATCGATCTCCTTTCACGCCCGATCTCCGCCCACGGTATCTCTTTTTCTCCTCTTTTTAGCTACTTCTGACGTCTAACCATGATGATATTGTCTCACGTGATATTTCCTTTTATCCATCCACATAATCTCATATAAGACTACTGGTTCTTTTAGCCATTGTTGTTGACTCCTCTCGTGCCGACATTGTTCCATGTGATTATCAATATGGTGTTCTTTAGCTACTGTCTATTTTAGCCGTTGTTGCTATATTTAAATTACACATTATTTTTTTTGGTTTTTTTGCCACTGTTGTTATCTTTAAAAAGTTTTTTATGATACTTTTTGCAACAACAAGAAAATCACTATTTGGATAACAAGTAAAAAAAAATTCAAGTTGCTATTCTCATTGATTACAAACCATAGGGACTAAAATTGAAAATTTTCAACCACATTAATGAAAATCACAATCTTTTACAAACTACAGGGACTAAAAACGTAATTTACTCTAAGTTCAAATAATTGAAAGTCGCTTATTTGAGTCAAAAGGTTCAAAAGGATGGAAAACAGCCACAAGAAAATTCTATACCGAAACTACCCTTTAAGATATTCGTATCAAATTGATCAAACCCAAGGACAGTTTCGTACTTTTACATCAGATATCTTACCATCAAACTTTTGCCGTCACATTCCCCACCAAGCATTCAAATACTCCGGGATTCCCGTCTTCCGTCACTACAATGGCCTTACAAATCCACCATCTCCGGCCACCGATTCCGCCGGCGGCGGCGTTGTGCTCAGTCGGATCACTGTCTTCATGGCCAACCAAACAGTCTACCATCGCCGGAGACCTTCGCCGGTCCTTCTCATTAGTGAAGATGATCGATAGTAAAACCAGGAAAAACAAAGGTTTGAGGTATTCGGTGAGGGTGAGATCGAGCTTGGAGACATCTGGTTCAGCTGCAGTTGTAGGTCAGGTTACTGAGGTTGATAAGGATACGTTTTGGCCAATCGTTAATGCTGCTGGTGATAAGACTGTCGTTCTCGATATGTACACTCAGTGGTAATTAACTGACACGATCCTTTATCCTGCATTTTTCTGTTATTACCTTGAAAACATGTAGCATTCATTGATTCATTGAATTATTGATTGTTTTGTCTATACATGTTGATGATAGTGAAGAATCAGTGATGGATCTAATTAGTAGAATTCACTTTGAGCAAGTCAAATTTGATCATTCGCGTCCATAAGATCGAATGTTTGATTATGGAACAAATCAGTAGGACTCATCCATTTGCAACTACGGAAAGGGAAATGAAGTTGATGAAATTTTACTTATATGGAGGGAATTGGACTTAGATATGAGTTCATGTTCCAGGTACCCTTAGATTAGGGGATGAAATGATGAATATGTGTTAAAATGCTGCCTGTTTGATTACCCTTGGATTAGGGGGTGAAATGATGAATATGTGTTAAAATGCTGCCTGTTTGANCTGCCTGTTTGATTACCCTTGGATTAGGGGGTGAAATGATGAATATGTGTTAAAATGCTGCCTGTTTGATTACCCTTGGATTAGGGGGTGAAATGGTGAATATGTGTTAAAATGTTGCCTGTTTGCTAATTAGTTTGGACTATGAAGTAGGAAAGCAATGTGATTCATAGGTTTGTTAGTGCAAGATGATTTCATAGATACAACCTTCTTTCAAACATTCTATATCACCCCACTTTGCTTCAAAGGTTCCACAGTCCCACAGTGGTCAGTGGGTGTTGACTACGGTTTATTTATGGTTAGAGATCATAAAATATTTTCTCAAATGTATTTCAAGTACTTGAGAAGCTTATGAGCTCTTTCCTAGATCTTCCTTTGTTGTGTTTGGGTCTAGTTTGTTTTCCATGGACCTTGTATCACCCTTTATTTGTGGTTTACAGTTCAGATGGATATCGGTTCCAGTAAGAACAAGTCAAACGACTGCATGAGTCCTTGAGTTACCTGTGTTAACAGCTTACACGGAGATACAGAAGAGGGCCTGTATGACGGTATATGGTAGCTTAGATAAGTTATGATTAAAATGGATCAAGGTGATAGCTGGGTGTTAAAGCCTCACCCTTTATTCCTTTTAACAAGCAAGATCATCATGATGAGCCTCATCTTCTACCTTTCTTTTATTTAGAAGAAAAGGTAATAACCCAAAATTCTATGCCAATCAAATCTTGCATCTGATCCACATACACCTTTACAATTTAGGTCTAGTGATGTCTATTATAGAATTTAAATTTGTCTTCCGAATCAACCATAGAAAGAGCTCATCCTTCCCTTCACTAAGCATATAAGAGCCCTGCTGAACAATGTGTGTCTCCATTCATTCCTATGGAGTTGTCTACTTGCATATTGCACCTAGACTCATTGCACCCTATAGGACCAGCTGTTGGCTTCTCTTTGCTTGATACTTCTCTCTCCCGTTGTTTTTATTGTTGCAGGATAATTTGTTTTATGAACAATATTTTTGTAAATATATTTCTCTTTATATTCACTTACATGCTAGATGGTGTGATCGGTCGGTTACTGTTAGGGGAGTTAATTTGTGTGATTGGCAGGTTACTGTTATGGGCGTAAATTTGTTCTCGGAAGCAAAATTGGAATACTATAAGTCTATAAGGCTCAACAAATAAGCAGCATTAGTCAATATTTGTTATTGAAGTTTATTTGGGTGTCAACCATGTTCCTTATCGACATTTTTTTGATTGGCAAGATCCGTGTTAGAACATTGAGTGCCTAGTTCATGTACATTGCAAGGTAGTATTCAATCCAGAAAAGAGTCAATCCTTGATTTCTGAATGGCTATTGAGTTGGATTTAACATTAATAAGTGACAAACTGGGGAAATCTTTCTCATCATTTTCTTAAGAAAAGGTCAACTATGGTGCACCCAAGTTATTGTTTGAATCCAACTTGATTATTTTGAACTAGTTGCTTGTTAACAATTGCATGTGACAAGTGTTTATTTTATTATTATAATCATAAATAACATAGACTTACACCTAATTTTGTTTGTATAGCCAATGTTTTTAAAACGATGAATATATCTGATGGAAATTTTCTTGTTTTAGAAAAGAAACAACCAAAGAGATGACTGTGGAATAGAGTTTGTAGAACAACAGAAAACCCTCACCCAAGTAGTGAAAGCCCATGCCTCCGAGTCTCGTGAAGAGAACAAAAACAAGAGAACATAAAAGAGGATAAGAAAAAAAAATAACTCCCTCTTTATTTCAAGTTTTCAACAACCATGTGGCTGAGAATACATAATGGAACCTCACAAAGAGTGCGAACCACATTACACATAATAAACCCTTTTGATTAAAGCATTGGGTAAAATACCTTCTTATATGACTTTAAAGCTATTTGCGTATAGGACTCTAATTCAGACACCAGTTTAATGGTTTTGTATAATTTGCTTCATGAATTGAATCCAATCATTACAAATTGTATAACACATCGTACGATTTTGGGAACAGGGCTAACTAAGCATGGTTATCTAAAGGTTGATATCAGTTGTCTTGACTGCTTGATCTTACTACCTAAAAAGAGAAGGATAAAAATTTGTTGCCTATTAATATCCCATCAAACATTATAACCTACCATAAACCGATTATGACGTTGCATGATGATGTGACATATGAATGGATACATCAGTTCAGCATCACACCACATCATCATATGGTAAGTTAGATGGTATATTTAGGGGCTTTAAGATTCGTCAGGCATCGATTGGATTTGACTGTTGAATGCTTTATCTTCTAGTATGTTGCGAAATATACAACCAACCATGCATGAAATACAACCATATAACAGGTCCTAGTCTTTTTAATTGTCTCTCTTTTATTTTGCCCGTGGTTTCTGATTTATTTGGAACTTGATAGGTGCGGTCCTTGCAAGATGATCGCTCCAAAAATTGAAGAATTGGCTGAGAAGTATCTTGATGTTGTCTTTCTAAAGCTTGACTGCAATCAAGAAAACAAGGTATGTTTATCATTTGATTTTTATGGATCTTTTATCACTTGTCATGGGTAGGAGTCACAAAAAATAGATAAACACGGCAATTTGCCTCACACTTGTTTCAATCACGTAACAACAAGATTATATACTTATCATTCTACTAATGAAATCAATTACATGTCTTTTTGTTCAATTTTAATCTAATTACCTAAACATAAATCATCAACTATTGAGATTATTAACATTCTCTTTATCATATTGTTTATCATTTTGTCCCATATTTGACTGTTCATATTAGTTAATTTGATTAAAATTGAATAAAAAGATGAAATTGATATGATTGTAAGATTACAAGTATGCAGATAGATCCTCTTGTTCGAGTGTATAATTGAAAAATCGTTGTGAACAATTTACCTATTTGCCCACTTTACGGAGAACACTTTGCATGGACCCTATGGGACTGTAGGACCATAGTTACTCGAAACAAAAAATTAAAAAATTAAATGGATGGGTTATTTCGGTAGATCGTAATTTTGATCTTTCTTGGCAGCCATTGGCAAAGGAGCTAGGCATAAAAGTGGTTCCTACCTTCAAGATTCTTAAACAAGGTAAGATTATAAAAGAAGTTACTGGTGCTAAGTTTGATGATCTAGTTACTGCTATGGAGGATGTTAGATCCAGTTGAACAACTATAATGTTAAGAATTCTTATGTTTCAAATTGATTATCTCAAAACTGTTCGAATTCCGCCTTTCATATGCCTAACAAATGTTACCCTTTAAGTGCTTAAATTACACACATCTTTTTAAAGGTAAGCCTTGAACTTATAACCGTTAGTTCAAATTAAACGAACCCAGTATATCCCACCTGCGGTGGGGTCTAGGGAGGGTAGGATGTACGTAGACGGTAGATCTGACCTTTACCTAGCAGAGCAATTGTTTATGTGAAGATCCCGACTTGTGAAAAGTAGACCTTGTTAATACTAAGGGCATGTGCATTAGCAACTTAATGAGTTTAATGGGATTCGCAACTTATTCGGTCAGCTATACATGGCTGTTTGGTAGTGGCTTAATGATATAAAAAGTGACTTATCCAGTAAGCTTCTAGGGGGAGCTTTATGCAAAAAGCCAAGTTTTTTTCAAACCCGCCCCTCCCAAAAAAAAAACATGCTCCTTCTATCTATGAAAAAACCCTCCAAACAAAAACTTCCCCAATCTCTACTAACAGATCAATCCACACAGACAACCATACAGGAATTGGTAAAACCAGTAGGCTTATGAGTCTAACATAAATCACTTATACAGTCTTTATGTAATACTCGTTGCTATTTTTATTGTAAAGATCTTATACGAAATGATGCCGATTATTGATATACCATAATAGTAAAGAACGGCAGGTACGATACATAGAACATATATGTAATGAAGTACAACCCCCCATTAATCATGCTTTAGTCTTCTTCTTAGTCAGCCTTCGAACGTTATAGTAAGCAATCCCAACCGGATTTCCGAGGTTATGCTCCCTTGCAAAAGCTCGAACCCTAAAGTGTACTCGAGACTCGAGTGTCTCGATATCATTAAGCGAAGCCCGTTGCTTGTACAGAATGAGCATGTAACGGTGGATACCAATGTGAGGGTTAGGTCCTTCATATGAGACAAATTCAGTACCTATTACATACATAATTACTTGTAAGCAATCAATAACATTAAAAGCGAGACCGAACGATTAATTTAGTCGGGTTTACCTTCAGCACACGACTTCCCGCCAGGGATGTTAGTCACGATCCTGAAACACATTGTTTGAATGTCAGAAAACATAATTGAACATTGTGACACTAACCGAAGGGTCAATGCCCCTACAGTATCTGGGTTACTGGTAGATCCCAACCTCATTAGAAAGACACTAAAGTTAGAGAGAGAGACAGACGAACCATGAAACGAGTTCTTTCAACTCGGGCTCATTTGGGTTCGGAGCATCCGGGTCTATCATCACCAATGTGTATAGCTCGTCGGGGTTTCCACCGATGAGGACCCTTGGTGTAGCTTTAACCATAGATACATTGAGCTCACGACCGTTGGTCAATTTATTGGTTCCGTAGTAGACGGTCATAGTGATCATAGGAACAAACGGTTCCACTACGCCTCCAAGGACATCTCTAAGAGCATCAAGATACGCGCTTGAACTCATTCTGAACTGTGTTTTTATGTCTATATTACACTTATATTCAAGTCTCGTTATATATAGAGGACGAAAGCGTTGTGAAGGCGACGAGTCTTGTGAGTACTCATCACATGAAAACATACATTTCAAGTCACGCCTTGTAAACCCTACAAAAGCAAGTTTGAACACAACAAGCAAAAACATGAAACATAAAATGACAAAACAAGGGTTGAGCTGACCATCAGCTCAACCCTAACCCTCGCCCTCGACCTCATGGCTCTCATTCTTGACTATTGATTATGGGTCAGTATTTTCACGCCATGACACATGAAATACACATATCGACTATCTAGTTGTGTGTCACACTGCTCAACCCTGCTACGTTCCATCCACCCTCATGGCTCTTATTCTCGACTAATGGATTGTATGACATTACTTTCACGTTTATGACACAAGAAATACATGAACCATAAAATGACTAGGGTTGAGCTGATGACGCTCACCCTCATGGATCTTATTATCGGCTATTTGATTGTATGTCAGTATTTTCACGCTGTGACATATGAAATACACATATCAACTATCTGGTTGTGTGTCACACAGCTCAACCCCCGCTACGTCCCATCCACCCCCTCATGGCTCTCATTCTCGACTAATGGATCGTGTGACATTACTTTTCACGTTATGACACATGAAATACACGTCTCGACTATTTGGTTGTGTGTCACATGATGCATAAGTAAACCTTGTATGCATGTACGCTCATCGGGGGTGTGAGACATAACGACTACTATGCACTATTATGTGAAATATTTCATTATTTATTCAGTGTCAGAATCATGTGAAAGTTTTTTTCAGTTTTGTGAGAATATGAAAACAAGTGAAAATATTTTATATTGTGTGAATGTTACGTTATATTGACTGACAATTGTAACATTTACATCACATGTAACTGTGTGTTATGAATGTTACATTGTATCATATGGATGCTGTAACATCTACACAGTTTCGAACAGTTTAATTGGAGTAAAAAATAACGTATTTTACCATTTTATGTCCATTTTTTTTACCTTATGCACGTAATTTCGAAAATAAATAAATATTTATATTTTATTTTCATTTTCTGTTTGAAGGACCATGTTATTCGTAAACAGGAAGTCCAATGTGCATTTTATATATCTATTAGAAGTGTAACTATTAAGATCCAACAAAATATAAAATTTAACTGTAAAAACGGAAATTCATCTGTTATATTTAGCCGCAGTTATTCTGATGAGTGAATACAGAGTCAAATCGTGATATTAGAAATGTTATCGCCATCATAACTTTCTTTATATTCAGCAACAGTTATTCTGATAACCGTAAGAAAACCGCTACATCCTATCTTTAGTGAAAATAGATGAATACGAATATAATTGAGGGTGTTTAAATATTTCAGGATTAACAGAAAGAAACATACGGTTCAATGAGTCAAATCATTACATTGCTATTGTTTGACGGATGATGATATGCATATAGTATAATACGATGAAGGATTGGGTTCATGTGAGACAAAGCTGTTTCCGTGAGACACAATTTTTACACTTGAAACTTCACAACAAAATGTTGTGAAGGTAAAAAAAAGCCGAACCTTCATAGTAAAAACGTTGTGAAATTGAATGTTACCTTCACAGTATTTTATTGTGAAGTTTCAAGTGTAAAAATTGTGTCTCACAAAAACAACTCTGTCTCACATGATCCCAAATCATACGGTGAAAGAAACAATAAACAACACATCTCTCTCTTTCTAATAAATTTTGAAAGTTTTAGAGAATCTGTTGGAACATAAAAATTTCGAATATTATTTTCTTTATTTAAATAACTTGTTGGTGTTTTTATTAGAGTAAACAGATATGATATCGATTGAAAGCAGTTGGATCATGGTATGTAAACATCATCTCCAGTATCCATCGTTGATTTCTTTATATTCAACAATGGTTGGTCTAAAAAATGTACGAAAATCATTGCATCTTATTTTCAATAGAAAGAAATTACGACGAATGTAATTTTGAGACGTTTAAATATATGCAATTCAAGAAAAAGAGAATATCGGGCCCCTTTTTCAAGCCCAAAGCCCGGCTCGGGCCTAAAAAACCCAGACCTAAATTTTGCTCACTAGAAAAGGTTTGGAAGGCGCGGGCGGAGTCCCGAAGAAGGTCGAACCTTGTGCATCTCTAGTCTGGAAGATAGATTTGCAGATATTGCCAAATAAAGTATATAATCTTTCTTCTGCTCTATCTATGGTCACAGTGTAACTATGGTCAATAATTCATATTTAAGGTGGTTGTATTATATTATCAGTGACGTTGTTTCAGATTTAACTGTCGTTTAATGAACCGACACACGTATTCATCTTCATATGTGTTTATTGATGGAACTCACAAAACATCGGGTATCATGGTGAAACCGAAACTCATAATTGTTATATCAAATTGAGTAGTTTAGCGATATTACATGATACCCTACAAGTTTCTACACTGGTATTAGGTTTTCAATCTAACAACTCGACACGTAAAACATGGTATCATAAAAGCATGAATATTTTGTTGGTATAATCATCCCTTAAATGACCACCACGATGGTTTGGCTCGCTGAAGATTATGAATTCATGTACAAATCCATTCGACTCTGGTCCCTTATTAGACGACCATGATTAAGTACAAGTGACGAATATGATTAGGGTACGTAAAACCGATATCTAATCTTTACAATTTTGGTGATTTATCGTCAAATTATTCTCATATGAATACAGACAGGGTTAGCAAAAATTATATGTAACGTCCATAATTTCAGTGATTTATCGTCAACTTATTCTTATAGAAATATATTTTTTAAAGTTAGCAAAATTGATATCTAATCTCCATATTTCATTCAGATATGGTTAGAGTCGGCAAAACCAATGTCTAACCTCCACAATTTCGGTGATTTTCATCAACTTATTCTCATATCGATATAGTTAGGGTTAAGAACATTGATATATAACCGCCATAATTACGGTGATTTATGGTTAACTAATTCTCATATGTCTCACTAGGGTTCTAAATATAACGTCGGTTTTAAGACCCTTTACGAGTATAAGGAATTGAAGGTTGGGTAAATTTATTTAGAGAGTAAACATGTTTTTTCAATAAATACATGAATCTATCATCACACGGGCCCGATCATGTAACTGACTCCTTGAGCTATTGTCAAGATTTTGTCGATTTGCGGAAGTCATTTCAGAGAAAGAAAGTGATAAAAGTCCTCCGCAACATGATCATGCTTATCGCCTGACGACGTGGTTCCTGAAACCAAGAACCACGAAAGATTTATCGCGTTGATATAAACTAGGGTTAAAATTTGCTTTTGGTTTAGACCATAGATGGACCGGTTTCACTGAAGACAATAAACAAAACAAATTTTACTGTTATAATGTTCCAAAACTAAACTGAACCGTGAAAACCTCCTGACTGAATTGAACTAAAACAACCAATTCATGTAATTATACAGATACTATTTTTGTAACGAAAATAAATTTGAAAATTGTAATTAATCAATTGATGCTCTAAAAAATCTAATACGAAAAGGTCGATTTTGTTTTTTTTAACACTCAAAAACCATCTTGATAAAGAGACTCAGAGGGGATGTTTGGCAGTTGCTGGAATGGTTTGGTGCAGATGATTAAGTGGTCAGAATGATTAAGAAGTTCTCATGATATAGTGCAAAATAAAATATAATTGTTTGGTAATTGTTTACAACAAAATTAGGGCGCTGAATGGTTAAGGAATGCCCATGATACAAAATCATTCAGATGGTTTTATAACCATTAAGAAGCAGACTTTTTGCCAAACAAGATTTGCCTCTTTACGATTCGGAAGCTATATTTTAATGGAATTATTAAGAGGTAAACAAACCACCCCATCTTCAAAGTAATTGTTACGACGTTAAAAATATCAAAACAAGAATCGTATTATCATAAAATTAAAGGTACACCAAATTACGCAAATTCACACTTTCTTCAAATTTGCTTGTTTTACTCTAAACTTCTGGAAAATTAAAAGCGCAAAAAGATAAGGGTATTTTCGGAAACAACATCTATATGCTTTAACACAGAATAAACGTTTGCATATATCTTATCCTCTAAACCTTAATTCTAAAGTAATAGGATAGTATAACGTGTTTCTTTGTAAAAAAAAAAAAAAAATCAAAACAACACCAATTTGCAGAAAACATGATATGTGTTTAAACCTTAATTCCGAGTGATACATACCGTGTTTCTTTGATTTATTCCAAAAAGCAAAATCATATAACTCGAGGGTTTTCTTGAAAACAATCTTTTTATATGGAAAAAAAAATCTTTATACATCCATACTCTTCAAACCTTACCTTAAGGTCTATTTGTTAGCAGTTTAACAAAACTCACAACTTATTCGGTCAGCTATACACGATTGCTTAATAGTGATTTAATGATATATAAAGTAACTTATTCAGAAAGCTTATAGGGGAACTTATGCCAAAAAAAAAACAAGTTATTTTGCTCCCAAACATGCTTTTCCTAATTAGAAAAATGGTCCTTCAATCTATGAAAAAACCATCCAAAACAAGAAATGTTGCAATATGGACAGACAAATTAATCTACACAAACAACTTTATCTACACATAACTTAATGAAAAACCAGCCAAACCTAATATAATGTGTTTCTTTGTAGAAAGATCAAAATAATTATGAAATTGCAGAAAACATGATCCACCCCTCCTCTTCCATCCTGACTTTACAACTTATTCGGTCAGTGTGGGGCTTACGACTTATTCGCACAGAACATGGCTTAATCACACAGATAGAAATTGTGTGTTGTCCCTATTCAGTCACAAAAATGACACATCTACCCCTTATTTAAAGCATTGCCTCCTTCCCAAATGAGACACCCCTTCATCAACCTCTTTATGATTTTTTTGTTTTGATGTTCAAATAATTAATATTGGGGGGTAAATCGGTCATTTTATGTTATTCAGACTGTTGGTTCAGATAGAAAAAGTAAACAACAACACCTATTTATCCAGACAGACAAATTTATCCGGACAGATAAATTTATCTATACAGCACTTAATAAAAAATTTGATAAACAACTTTTTATTCAATAAACTTGTAAAGAGAACTTAGTGTAGAAAACCAAGTTTTATCCCAATTGAAAAAAATGCCTTTTTCATCTTTGAAAAAACCATTCTAAACAAAAATCTTTTCATATATAGACGAATTAATCTACCCAAACAATTTGAATTATACACGACTTAATGAAAAAACAAAATCAAGTCACATAAAAAAATCAAAGTATTTATCAATTTGCAGAAAACATGATCCACGCCCAAAACCCAAAAAGAACCCAAGAAAACCCCCAAAATTCACATGGTAAGAGTGTCGAAAAATAAGTAGCGGGTTATCTTGAAGAAATTGGCAAGCTAAATATAGGAAAAAATGGAGAAGGAAGATGAAAAAGGAAGAGGTGGAGGAGGTGAGTCCAATGCCACAACAAACGTGATTAAAGCTGTTTCTTATGTAACCCCAATCCACAAAAGCTCTTGATCCGTTGCTCTATATTTGGCCTTTCCCTTCATCACAATCGAGGTGGGTTTCTATCTCTTTGCTTCAATCCAACAACTACACTTGCTTCCCGATAATTTTAGGGTTTACAATTGTTGATAGTTTTCAATTTTGAAGAAACCCTTTTGAAATTTTGTTATTGTGATTTTGAAATTTTTGAGATGGATCAGAATCAAGCAGGAGTTGTTTTTGTAATTGGGTTTCTTCTTGTTCTTCAATTGGGTATCTGGGCATCCGCCAATGTGGTTTTCCAGGTTCAGCATAAGTTTAATGGCGATAAAAGGTCTTTGACTGCATATAAAGCTCATGATTCCTATCGTCACCGGAGAATTCTCTCCGCTGCTGATCTCCCTCTCGGCGGCAATGGCAGCCCTACCTCCTCTGCGTCAGTTCCCTCTCTCTCTCTCTCTCTCTCTATATATATATATATATATATATATATATATATAATCATCAATGACTGCTTTAAGGCATAAATTGAAGTGGGGTTTCTTAATTGTGATAATTATCTGGTGTCTGTGTCATCTGTATAGATTTAGGGTTTTTCTTTAAACCCTCCATTGATTGTTTATCTTTTATGTATATATGGTCAGCTATAGGGGTAGACCGCAAAAAAAATGAAAAACTGAGGAATATCATGATAACCGTTCATGTGGACCATATGTACATGTGTGTAACATGCACACGTGCATAAAAACTAAGAAACAACTTCAATTACTTGTATGCACATGTGCATACCGTCCAGTTAACATGAAGGGGTAAAGGAAGGGGTAAGATGTACGCTGATGTCGGCAGATGTGACATATGTCTCAAAGAGTAGAACAATTGTTTTCATGAAGATCTCCGGCTTGTGAAAGCCAACACATTTACCGTAGTAGATTATTTTGGAAGTATAAAACACTAAAAAGATCTTCTTTTAGGTAATTGTGGGTATGTAGCCCCGCTTACACGCACTCACTAGTCCCCAGGCAACCACGAATGGCTTGAAGTCATCGCAGGTGAACCTCCATGGCTACAAGTGGCAGCGCCTAGATTCCTCTACATCCCCCTGGGCCTTAACCAGTACGCCACAACCCAAGTGGTTCTAAAAAACGAATCTTGAATTTTGAATATATGGAAGTACAAATCTGTCTTTGTGTCTAATTATTTGCAACCATGGAAGTTTTGAACATCAATAATATAGATATATAATGTGTATATATAGTGTCAGGAGGAACCCCTAGTAACTGTAATCTGGAGGGCATGCACATGCGAATAACATGCACACATGCATAAAAACCAAAAGACAACTTCAATTACTTGTATCCACATGTGCATACCGTCTAGATGAATGGTTACCCGAGTGTTCTTCAGTTTTTCATTTTTTTTGGGGTTTTTCCTCCGAACCTTCCTCTCTTTCTCTCTCTCTCTCTCTCTTTCTATATATGTATGTATATATATATATATATATATATAAAATAAAATATCATTTCACATAAAATTCAAGGTAAGAACCAAGATTCTTGCAACCATGGAAGTTCTCAATGTTTGTATGGTTACTTCTTGTAGGCTCTATTTCACCAAGATTCAAATCGGGACTCCTCCACAAGATTATCACGTGCAAGTCGATACGGGGAGTGACCTCTTATGGGTGAACTGCGCTGGATGTGCAAATTGTCCGAGAAACAGCGATCTTGGAGTACGTTTCTTGAAATCTTGGGAAAAGATTATAATATCGATTTGATTGGCTTACATTTCCTTTAATTTTCTCGTTTGCAGATCTCACTCATGTTATACAATCCAAAGAGCTCATCAAGTTCCAAAATGATTACTTGTGATCAAGATTTTTGCACATCCACACTCGACTCCTCCAATAATGAGTGTATTGTGGGGATGCGATGTTCTTATCTTGTTAAGTATGGTGATGGGAGCTCAACGACAGGTTATTTTGTTAGAGATACCGTACAACTTGAGAGGGTTTCCGGGAACCTTCAAACAGCATCCATGAATGGGAGCATTACATTTGGGTGCGTTTGTTTTTTCAAAACTTTATCATATCTGACAACCGCTCAACTGTTTTGGGTAGAGGTCAGGTCTGCATACATCTTACCCTTCCCGTCCCATATAGGGATATACTGGGTTCGTTTGGTTTGATTTAGTTTTTCTGAATCTATTCATTAGTGGTAACTTCTGATTTTTTTGCTAAGAAATCACTACAATAACATTGGCTTTATAGGATGCCTTGAATGTCTAAGTGTCCTAATAAATACTTTATAAAATATAAGTTTATAGGACCAAACTATAAAGGCGTCATGTCTAAAAGTGTTACAATAAGTTTATAGGATGCTTTTAGGCGTTTAAACAATTTTTTTAGGACACTTGTAAAATAAGTTGTCCTATTAGTTATTTTTTATTGGACAAACTTTTGAGAAGTGTTCTGTAAACCCATCTGTCTATAGGACACTTCTTCAAATAATGTCATATAAAGTAGCTAATATGACACTTTATTTTAAGAGGGTCCTAAAAAACTTGTTAAAATGCCTAAGAAGCGTTCTATCAACCTATTGTAGGCTTGTAGCACTTCTAGATATGACGTTTTTTGGTTTGGTCTTATAAACTGAAGTTCTATAAAGTATTTTATTAGGACGCTTAGACATATTAGGCGTCCTATAAAACCAATTTTATTTTAACGTATTAGTCTTCGATTCTAATCTTGAGTACGCAATTTTTATCCAAGATAGGTGTGGAGCGAGACAATCGGGGGGACTAGGTTCAACCCAACAAGCACTAGATGGGATACTAGGGCTCGGACAGGCAAATTCTTCGATAATTTCGCAGCTTGCTATGGCTAAAAAGGTGAAAAAGACGTTTTCCCATTGCTTGTCGGGTTCTACCGGAGGTGGGATTTTTGCCATTGGAGAAGTTGTGGAGCCGAAAGTTAATACGACACCAATTATTCCAAAGGAGTAAGCATCCTTTCATGTTCCTAGTTTTCTAGGCCTTGTTGCTAATATGGTCTCGTTTCCTTTTTAAATAGTGAAAAAACTGTTACACCGATTTCACTTGGTTATTAAACACACAAAGAGATTCGTATTTGGTGCACCCAAATTTAGTATTTCTTAAAACTAATCCCACATAAAATGTACGCAAATAAAGGCTAGACCTTGGGGCTCCTCCATAGGTCGTCAGTTCGAGTGTTCCCAGGGCCATCGGAGATTTTCAGGGCCCATGGAATTAATCGAGGTGTACGCAAGTTGGCCCAGACACCATGTTTACCAAAAAAAAGATCTCGTGCTTCCTAGTTGATCTTAAACGAAGCTTAGCTAGCAAAGGGGTGGGTGCCTTTGCTGAAACACATAACAGGTTCAAGTTCGAATCCTATGGAAGACGGGTTTGAACCCCTCCACCAGCCTTAGCCTTTGAGCCAACTCTGAAATGCCTCCTCACAGGTGGTTCCTACTTCCTAGGGGCCGGTTTCCATTATGTCAACTTTGACATCCTCCTCACATATGGTTCCTAGGGGCTGGGTTCCACCGAGTCAACTCTGAAATGCCGCCTCACATGTGGTTCCTAGGGGCCAGGTTCCATCAAGTCAACTCTAAAATGCCTCCTCACATGTGGTTCCTAGGGGCTGGGTTCCACCGAGTCAACTCTGAAATGTGGTTCCTAGGGGCCGGGTTCCACTGAGTCAGCTCTGAAATGCCTCCTTACATGTGGTTCTTAGGGTCCTGGTTCCACTGAGTCAACTCTGAAATACTCACATGTGGTTCCTAGGGGGCGGGTTCACCATCTCAACTTGAAATGCCTCATCACATGTGGTTCCCGGGGGCAGGTTCTGTGTGGGCTGGTCAAGGTTGTTGGTAACTGAACTTTTTGCTCAAGTAATGTCATGTGAAGTAATGTAGAATGCATTTTTTTCGCTCTTTCTTGGTTTCCAAACCACGATGCACCTATCTACGATTCTCAACGTGCGAGAAAGATCACACATGAATAACTTTCTAAATAATCCGGCTTTCTCCAATCTTCCAACGTATCAGCATAATAAGTTATCTTGATTACAATTTTATCTACGTCACAGGACACATTTCAATATCGAACTGAAGGCAATTGAGGTGGGTGACGAGTTTTTAAGACTTCCAAGGGATATATACGACGGTCGGACTAGGCGAGGAGCAATAATCGACAGTGGTACGACCTTGGCTTATTTTCCAAACGAGATATACAACCAACTAATGCGATCGGTATGTGAAAAATATTTCAACCCTTTTTGCATCCTTTTTTAAACTTGATTCTCATTATCATCCTTTTGACGTAGATTATGGTCGCACAACCAAATATGAAACCACACATAGTTGATCATCAATTCAAGTGTTATAAATACCTCGGAGAGTAAGTGTTCGTTTTACTTCCTCATTATCATGTCGTTAAACTTCTAGATGGTTCTAGATATCGATTATACTCCCTCTGTCCAAAAATAAGTATCTACCCTTAATTATGAGATGGAGAACTATATTACTCCTTTTGTTATTAAGGGTAAAATTGTCTTTTAGTTGATTAAAAACATTTATATTTTAGTTTGTCCCAAAATTAAGTATCCACTTTCAAAAGTGACTAATTTACGACTCTACCCTTGATTATGAGATGGAGAAACACATTACTCCTTCTGTTATCAAGGGTAAAATTGTCATTTAGTTGATTAAACAGTGTAATAATTACATATTTCTAAAACTGTGTTGTTTTCATTGTGGGTATTTATTTTAGGATAGAGGGAGGAATATTTAGAGCACGAAATATGTGAAATGGATTAAGAAATCTTTTGAACTATGATATGTACTTAATATTGGAACCTTGCGGCGGGATGCCAAAAAGATTTAAAACCGTAGTCCAGGTAGCCTGCGATGTTACGAAACACCAATTTGAGAAGGCATGTAACGTTGTGTTCGTATTTAATGCAGCGTTGATGACGGTTTTCCGGTTGTCACGTTTCATTTTACGAATACCCTTCCGATGAAAGTTTATCCTCATCAATATCTCTTTCAAGTCCAGGTATATTCCTTACGTTTAAGTTTTTATTTTTACCATTTTTTAACCTTGATATCTAACGTCTTCGACCCAACTAGTTCATGGATTTAAAAAAGGCCCACATTTCTATTTTGGTTCGTCCCATAACGAGTGTTTGTTTTCCAATTCTACCCTTAATTATGAGACGGAGAAATTCATGACTCGCTCGGTTATTAGGGTAAAATTGTCATTTAGTTAAGTAAAAAGTGTAATAGGGTAAAAATGTCATTTAGTTAATTAAAAAGTGTAATAATCACAATTTCTAAAACTATATGCCTTTTTTCATTGAACGTTCGTATGCTATTGTATTTTCAGAATGAAGATTGGTGCATCGGTTTTTTGAGCAATGGCGTGCAACCGAAGGATGGAAAAGACGTGATCTTGTTGGGAGGTTAGAGCGTAAAATTTCATGAAATTTACGACAAATATCTTGATTTTGTGGGTGGTTTTACCTTTTTGGGGCGGGTTGGTCGTTTATGTTCATAGTTAACGTATATGTTTAATTATTTGTCGGATTTTAGGTAGGTATCTTGGTACACATTTCGTGTAGTTACCATTTCACCTTGTGAATTCCGTGTATCGGATATAAAAAAAAGTTTCTAATTGTTTTTTATATTCATTTCGTGTGCAGATCTTGTACTAACGGATAAGTTGGTTACGTATAATATGGAAGATCAGACCGTCGGATGGACGGAATATAATTGTAAGCGTGCTTTTCTCTTGTTTTCTTCGGTTTTCGACACGTTCACATGCACCCCCCTCCCCTACTTGCCCCCTTTCAGTCCTACGAGCATCTCCAACTGTTTCTCTATAATTTTCCCGTAATGGGTAAAAATCTCCACATAAAAGAAAATTACATCCAACGGAGATTCCAGCATTAATTCTATTATAAAAATATATTGAATACTATAAGGGGCCGTTTGGTTCGAAGGAATTTGATGGAATTGGACTTTTTGGTAGTGGCTTAATGATATAGAAAATGGCTTATTCAGTAAGCTTCTCACGGGAGCTTTATGTAGAAAGCCAACATTTTTCAAACTTGTACCTCCCACTTAGAAAACACACTCATTCCATCTATGAAAAAACCCTCGCGGACAAAAATCTTCCGAATCTATACAGACAGGCTAACCACACAGACAACTTTATCCATACATGACTTAATACAAAACCAACCAAACGGCCACCAAGTTCTCACCTATATCATTGTAGTTTGGCCGGTTTTCGGTTGATACGCTTTTTCTTGATTGAAATTGTGAGCCGGGATGGCAAATATGATGTCGGTTTTGTTGTTGTTTCAGGCTCGTCGAGCATCAAAGTGAAAGATGAAGAAACCGGGATGGTGTACGAGGTTGGTTCCCATAATGTTTCATCATCCGCTCGTAAACGCAGGGTGGTTTTCGGTTGGGTGGTGTTTATAATAGCTGCTTCTAAAATAGTAATGTATTAAAACAAACCAAAGCCAACAGTTATATAAATAAATATGTGTTGATATATAAGCCTCAAAATCTCTTTTCTTGTTTGGTGATGTTAAGAAAGGCCCGTTAGGACCGATTATAGACCCGGTTTCAGGCTTTCGGTCCAAGATTTTGGACGTTGGTCCGGTTAACGTCAAGGTCCGGTCAAATCTCTGCTTGGTCTAGTACTAGGGCTAGGGCTAGGGCTATGGTCTGCTAAAAGTTGCGACTTTCATCACTATGGTTCTGAGATTGCGGTTTACGTTCGTATGGTTTGAATTTCATTGTTAGTTTACATATGTTTGTGAAATTGTAAATTTGAAAAATTAAAATTTTAATATGATAAATCATAACCATTTATTATAAGAATCAATGGTCAAAATTGGTTAATAAAGTTAACACAATAAACTTGGTTAACATTTGAACCAACCCATATATATATATATATATGTGTGTGTGTGTGAAAGTGTGTGTAAAGATTACAAGAAGAAACACTGGTTACAGAAAAAATCATTTATAAAGAAAGATTTATAAGGTATGAATAATTAATTAATTACATTTAGAGGTTTACTTACAGTGGTTTTACAAAGTTGTCCTCAAGAACTGTACCAGAAAGTAGATGAGTGCAAGAAACAGTGCCAGCTGATAAGCATCCCTCTGAAAGTCATTGTTGCTTTGGAAAAACTGCATCCAAACCCATTCACCATTTCTAAATTTACCTTCTATAAATGTCTTAATAGACTGCTTTATATAATTTAAGTTTATTGAACCAAACACTTGTGTATTCTATGTAAAAGTGTTGTAATAAGCTTTAAGACCATCTATAAATGTCTTAATATACTGCTTTATATAACTTAAGTTTATCGAACCAAACACTTGTGTGTTCTATGTAAAAGTGTTATAATAAGCTTATAGACCGCTTTTGGACGTCTTAACAAACTTTTTAGGACATTATTGGAACAAAATGTCGTATTTTTTTCTTTTTATAACACTAATTTTTCAACATATAAAAGGTCCTAATAGGACGCTTTATTTAAAAAGTGTCGTAAAAAGTTCATTAAGACATCAAAAAACGTCTTATAAACTTATTACAACGCTTTCAGATAAGACATATAAGCATTTGGTTCGATAAACTTAAGTCCTATAAAGCAATCTATTAGGTCACTTGAACAGTTTTAGTGTCCTATAAACCCAACTTTGTTGTAGTGACAGGTTCACATAGAACAACCCCCCGTTCACTAAAATGAAATTGGTCGTATGTAGAAGCGATATAAAAAAAATATTTTATAGAACCAAACCAAAAAGGATTATGTATAACAGTGTTACAACGCTTTTGAACATTTTAACAAGTTTTTTAGAACGTTTTTAAAATAAAGTATCGTAACTATTTTATACGACACTGTTTGAAAAAATGTCATGTAAAATGTCGTATAAATTAGCTAATAGGACACTTATTTTTAAAAGTGTGCTAAAAAGGTTGTTAAAATGCCTAAAAGTGCTCTATAAACCTATTGTAACGCTTTTAGATATGATGCTTTATAGTTTGGTCCTATAAACCTAAGTTTTAAAGGTATTCTATTAGAAAGCTTAGACAATCTAGGCATCCTATAAAACCAACTTCGTTGTAGTGATTGCACGAATCGGGAAAACTTTACGCCCCCGAAGAATCGATAGCGTCTACAAGATCCTAAACGAGGTGGCATGAAAAAACTACCTTTGTGGGATCAGTGGGGTCGGGATATATCCCCGTATTTTCTTTCTTTGTCGAAAAGCGGCTCGACAAGTTCTTGACGGAATCGGAGATATCCTTTGCAGCCTCGGTTGTAGAAAACAGACGACGTGATGCCCAGAAATACGCCTGAGCAATGGTTGATGATGACGATAAATCCCAAAGCTCTTCGTGCTCGATAACTTGACCACTAATTTGGTTTAGTGTAAACCGAGCGTTTACTTTGAGAATCACGGGTCCTCCTACTCTAACTAGCGGGTTTTTCGGGTTCCCTTTCAGAGTCCACTTTATATTCAAGAGACTCGTAGACAACATCGACATGTCTTGCACACTCTGCAAGACGGGGTTTGCAGTTAGAGCATCTCCAATGGAGCGACTTATAAGAACCATTCTTTGGTCACATTATTGACAACTCAGCAAATTAACAACTAACATAAAAAACCATCAAAAAATAAAAAACTGAAGAACACCTTAGTAACCGTTCATCGATACAGTATGCACATGTATGTACAAGTAATTGAAGATATTTCCACCTGGTTTCTATCCACGGGTGCATGTCATGCACATGTGCATACCGGAAAAATTACTTGTATCCTCATGTGCATACTGTACAAATGAATGGTTACTAAGGTGTTTCTCAGTTTTTCATTTTTTTTTTTTTTTGCAGTTTTCCCTTTAACCTCATCTTATATATAAAAACTAACACGGAAGACGAAATCTTGAATAGATGTAAAGTAGCATCCGTACCACAGTTGGTTTATCTAGCGCAACGCTTGACCATAATGGTCGTTTGTATTTCTCGCGCCCGGTAAAACTTCTAACGGGATCCTGCAATCGGTGACACGATAAATATTTAGTCTCCGTGTAAACGTTAGTCCATCATAGTAGCAAAATCACCCTCTACCGATAAGTATTCAGCTCCTCAGGGACGGTCGATCAGATTATTCACGGAAAAATTCTTTCATAACAATGAAAAAGCACCAAAGGGCCCTTTGGCCTAGCGGTATGTGAGTCATTGGCTTCCTAGGATGTCAATGGTTCAAAACCTCATGATGTGAAAATACATAAAACCCCGAGATTACTCTCCAAAGGAGCCATATGAGGAGAGATTGGAGGTTCCAACATATATTGACACACATAAGTTGTCCTAGAGTGTTTAGTCCCTAGAAAAGAAGGCTACAAAAATCATTGTGGGTCCCACCAAATCTGCAAAAAACTGACATTGATATCACCGGTCGAGCCGGTGAGGGGAGAATCCCCCTTTTTGCAGATTTGGTGGGGCCTACATTGATTTTTTTAGCCTTTTCTCCTTTCGTAACAAAATTTAAAAGAAATGGGTGGTTATTTTTGAAAAAAAAAATTGTAGTTTTTTTCAGAAATATTTGTTAAGTCAAGAACCCGTCTCTAGAGTGGTAGACCTTGTGATGATATCATGTGAGAATATGTGGAACCTTGTTGGATAGTAATCTAACGAGGTTTCACATAGTATCACGGGAACAAACTAAAATTTAAATGTGGACACTTATTTTGGGATGGAGAGAGTACAAAAATTGATGAGCGGAGTGTAATATTTCGGTCTTATTCAAGAACTTATTATACTTGTTCGTTACCTTGTATTTTACGGAAACAGCATATGTTCCAAGAGCACGATTGCCCTCCCGGAGCTCTAAGATGTCACGTACGAGTTGTCTTGCCGTAGCTTCAACAGATGGGCTGCTAATGCATTCGAACTCGTTGCATAGCTCACCAAACTCCATGCCATCGACAATCTTGTCAGCCTCCGAATTACCGGTTATGCGATCCGGAGACACCTCCGTCGCTTTCGAGTCATTTGCAACTGCAGTAGATAGGCTCCGTTACTTTTGTGTGTGTGTGTGTGTGTGTATAGAGAGAGGGGGGTTCGGGAAAAAACCACCCAAAAATGAAAAGTTGAGAAACACCCTAATAACTGTTCTTCTGTACCATATCCACATGTGCATACAAGTAAGTGAAAATATTTCCTGGTTTCTATGCACATGTGCATACTTTACAGATGAATGGTTACTAGAATGTTCCTCAGTTTTTTATTTTTTTACGGTTTTCCCTTGAATGGTTGAATCTGACCCTATATATAGAGAGAGAGGGAGCTTCAAGGGAAAACCCCAAAAAAATGAAAACTTGAGAAACACTTTGTTAACCATTCATCTAAACCGTATGCACATGCACATCCAAGTATTTGTAGTTGGTTTTTGGTTTTTATGCACGTGTGCGTGTGCATATGCACATGTCCATGTTGTGCATATGCATGTGTGCATGTGCTGCAAATTACTTGTATCCGTCCGAATCAAAGGTTACCCAGATGTTTTTCTGATTTTCTTTTTTTATGTTTTTTCCCTTAACCTGACCATATATATATAAAAGGGACCTTCTTTTGAGAACTCTCTAAATCATGAGATCTTTGATAATGAGTACATAATGTGCTATTTCATATAATTTTTTTCATCCATAGTTATAATTTAATATAATGATTAACATATATTTGTTTCACAAGTATTCAGTTCACAACGTGAACCTTTTTTGTTGTGTTTGTGAAACAAAAAAATACATATAAAAAGTTTCACATTATGAACCGAATACATATGAAACTGAAACATATACATATTCATCATAGATATCATACTTAATTATATGTAAAAAAAATCATATAAAAAACAAAACTTTAAGGTAGAAGTTCTTCCAGATCCCACACATTTACCGACGTAGTTTTACTAAATAACCACAAAAAAATAAAAAATTAAGAAAAACTCTGATAACCGTTCATCTGTCCCAATAAAATTATAACACATAAATAAATGGTTATCTGTAGTTACCGTTAAGCTGCCAACAAACATTCAGCATTACAATGATTTGAAAAAGCAATTGACGACAAATCTGAATTCGTAAAATTGAAGGAAGTAAAAGTTAAACCTCGTAGTGGGGGGTAAAGACGGCGGCGACGGTGAGTGGAGAGGATGAGGTGGCTGGTGGCGGATCGGAGATTGAGGGCGGCGATGGGCGGATTAAGGGAAATGGTTGGTAGAGCAGGAGTAATGGCGGACATCTCTGTATCTTCCCATTCTGATCGTCATTTGGATTTTCTGTTTTTTTCTTTTCACTGGATAATGCGATTTTTGTATGCTGGGGATATGGAAATGCCACGTCATACAGCCTTAACCAACTTTTTGTTTTTTTTAATTTAATATATTATTAGTTATTAAATTATAATAAAGATATTTAAATGTAAATTAATTGTTATTTGATTAAAATATAATTTTTTTTAAGTAATGTATCAATTTAGAAAGGAAAAAGTTTATGAAATTTTCAATCGACTTTAGTGTTTGAAATAATTAAGTATTTTGAGAATTTTTTAAACAAATAAATCATTGGATATTCCAAAACTTGTTAAATAACTTTTTGGACTTTCTAAAATCTGTTAAATACATTCTTATGACATATAAAACTGCTTAATATGGTAAAATAATTGAGAAAAAGAATCAATGGATTTTTATATTTTGAACGATTAAGTCCCTAAAACTTTTTTTGAACCATAAAAGTACTTACATTAATGAGTTGTATAGGTCATAAGAATGTATCTAATAGGTTTTAGAAAGTCCAAGAAGTTATTTAACATGTTTTGGAATGTCCAATGACTTATTTGTTCCAAAAAATTGTCCAAAGACTTAATGATTTCAAACACTAAAGTACATTGGATTTTTTTTAAACTTACCTCCTTTAGAAATTAGTTAGAATGCGAAGGTTTTTATTGAAAGAGAAGTTATAGTAATAAGCATGAGAGGACATCTGAACTCTTGATCACTTTTAATCTCATGTTCACTCATGAATTGCGCTTTAGAAGAGAATTTATCTGATGCATCTTCGTAGATCTCATTAATGTTGGCATTCAATTAGAATTAATCCAATTGTGGAAATATCTTCTTATGCTTCTCACTGTAACTTCCCTTCTCATCGGAACCTAACCTTTAATTAGAAATCCCTGTAAGTGGTGGGTAATTTCTAGATAATTTCTAAATCTGATGTGACACTTTAGAAACTATATTAAAAACCGTATTGTAATGGATAATAACAATGCATTTTAATTTTAGATAACGTTCAAGAAAATACAACCACCCATCATAACTAATGAATCTTTAAACTTTCTGAAATCGAACAAATAAATATGTAAACTTACTAAAACTGAGATAAGCCAACAAACTTTCATATTTTGGAGTGATTAGGTCCTTGAATATTTTATTGACCGAATAAATCCTCAGATTTATAAAACAAAAGAAATTTACCATTTCTTTTTTCTATGTATCAACAAATCAGTAAGAAAAGTACAACAAATCAATTGGGTCCAGCTCGGCTAGGACTCGACGATCCGAGACCGGTTATAGTTTTTGTCAAAAAAGTAGGCCTGGTCCGACGTGGACCGGTTATGGGCCCAGCCTATTTTTTTAATTATTACCGTTTTATTACCGATACCCAACGGCTATATGACCGTATTTTCCATTTTGACCATACCATTTATCCTTTATTTACTATATATAAGTCATATGATGTATGGAGAAAGATACCAACTCACAACCTTTCTCGTTGGTTACTGTTTAATAGCTTTTGTAACATAATTCTCAACAATTTTAGCATTCTAATTTTTTGATGGTTTCGATATTTAAGTATGTCGGAATCATTTCAAAAATTTGTTAATTTTGTCAGATAATGTATCATTTCATTGCCACTAATAGCGTTTTACTACAGATTTCCAAATAGCCCGAAAACTGAATAACGCAAAACTCAAATAACTAGAAGCCGAAGTTACCAGGAAAACCCTTCATTCAGTTTCAGTCAAGATGGGTTACTCAACTTCCGATTATTTTGACACCCTAGGTGTGCCCCCGACCACCCGACTTCCTAAATCCGCCACTAGTTCTAAATATGGTTGCTTAAATTCAAAAACGACATCAGAAGTTACGGCTCATTGCCTTGCTTTGTATAGATTCTTGAAAAAATACTATTACTATACGTTAATACGTAGCATGTATGATTCCGTATTCCAACAATTGCCAAATTGGAATTTAACAAATGCATCTCTTTTGCAAACATAGGTTTTCATGGTTTTGATACAAGAATGAGGTTTAGCAGAAAACCTCAAAAAAATGAAAAACTAAGGAACTCAATAACTCTTCGTATGTATGGTATACAAATGTGCATACAAGTAAATGAAGATGTTTCCTGGTTTCTATGTATATGTGCATACTGGAAAAATTACTTGTATGTGCATGTGCATACCGCACTAGATGTATGGTTACCAGGGTGTTCCTCAGTTTTTTATGGCTTTCCCCTTAACCTAACCCTTAGCTACAAAACATCGAGTACACAAAAGTAACTAAAAACAAAATGATTCCAATATATCAAACTCGAAAGTAGAACAGGAGGTCAAAGATACGCATACATATATTTCAGCATATACAATGGGTTTACCGCAACATCTTGGCATCATAATACAACCATTCAATTAAATATTTTTTGGTTAATTTACGTACATACGTAGAACTAAAGACCCATTAGTATTCCATATTTTTCGATCAACAAACAAATGTACTATGCTACATGACCCTAATCTTCAACAAAACACATGATTATACCAGCAAAAGTTAATCATTCAAGAACAGGGTAACTAAAACTGATGTGGGAAACTAACAAATCAGAAAGAAAAAAAATTTGACACCAAATAAATTGTTCTAAAAGAAACCCAACTCGAAGTTAGATTACCTTATCGAGCAGTTGAACGCAAACTCTTCAACACTCACCGAGAAACCGAAATGTTGGTTGTTCTAGAGGTTATGCAGCAGCCCTCTGTTCATCTCCCTCGCCGTGTTGCATCAGAAGCTTTTCATTTTTGTCCTGCAATATGTGAAAAGTCTTAGCCAAGAAGATGGTAAAGCCTAGGCAAACCAAGTAGCATTTAAACTGCACCATTGTGTTTGGTAAACAGGACTGGATGGGCGAGAGTGAGGTAGGCAGTGAAAGAATTGTGGTAGGGTTTAAAGGGTTTAGAGGTTTTAATTTGACATGGGTAGTGTTGTAATTTACCAACCTTGTCCCATCTTACATGTTCTTGTTCCACCTATTTGTCCCACTCAGGTCATGTCCTATCCCAGTCTAATATCACGCCAAACGTGGGACGACAAGTTTCTGTATTGTCTTGTCTTGTCCTGCTCCACATACCAAACGCACTACTGATCATGCAGATGCCAACCGTCTTATTGATGGAGCAATTAACCAGCAAAATTACTTTACTACATTGCACCATTGATAATGTAATCTATCATCAGTCTCAACTCCCATGAAACTATGGGATGTATCATATTTATGCAATGTTTCCTTTTTGGTGAACTTTACATCTAAAATTAGCCATGGTCTGTTTGTTAGCGCCTTAATGAGCTTAAGTGGACTCACAGTTTATTCGGTCAGCTATACATGATTGTTCGGTTGTGGCTAAATGATATAGAAAGTGGCTTATTCAGTAAGCTTCTAGAGGGGAGCTTCACTCATAAAGTCAAGTTTTTTCAAACCTGCCCGTTCCAATTAAAAAACACGCTCGTTCTATCCATGAAAAAAACTCCCCCAAACAATAACCTTTTCAATCTATACAAACACATTAATCGACAAACAATTTTATCAATATAGGACTTGATGGAAAACCAACCAAACAGCCCCTAAGTCAGTATTGTAAATGAGATAATGAATTCTTGCCATCAATTCGGATGGCATTTGTATGCTATGTGGTCTGCTAAGATCTGTTTACAGATATAATAAAATGAGTGAATCAGATTTTCAACCATTGTAAAAACCCACAAAGTTTGCAAGTTTTCGAACACCAAACTTGTGAATTCATTGCAAAATAACCATTGCACTTTGTTAACTTTTGGTCAAAACGCAAGAAAATTGCTACTTTAGTGGCTTTTGTGCATTTTCACAAGTATAATTGTCCTTTTGCAATGAAATGTGCAATTGTTGAGAATCTAATCCGCTCGTAACAGAATATACAACTACTCGATCTTTATCTTAAAAGCCAATACAATTTTAACCATAATGAATCAATCAAAATGAGGAAGCTGAATCCCACAGGTTGTCAATAAGAAATATAAACAAAACTACTCGGTACATGAAGAACGAACATCAAGAAAACAAGACAAGAATCCCTAAGAAAATTTAGGAACATATTTCAGTAGTAAAAACAAGTATGCAACATTTGAATGAATACCATAAATGTAAGTCATAGAAGTCGAGTAAGATGATAAAAGTTGAAAATCTTGCGACATCTTTGACTTCTCAATTCATAGGGTTTGAAGAATAAAAACAAGTTTTTACAAACTGAGGTTATCCGCTTCATAGGCCACCAGTTTACAAGGCAAATACCCCGAACGTACCACAAGGGTGGTGCCTGATTGGTTTGAGCTTGGCTCCAAAGGTCAAAAGTACCAGGAGGTCACAAGTTCAAATCCAAGGAGGAATAAAAATCCCCTTGTGGCCACGGAGGTTCAAATGCGGCGACTCCGGGTTATCTGCAAAGCAGGTGGTCGCCCTGGGATTAGTCGGCTCGCATAGCGGGTTGGATATCCAGGTTAATCAAAAAAAAAACCCCGAAAGTTACTCTAGAAATACGAGATTTTTCTAATACACCCTTGGGCTGTTTCATCATGTGACGCATTGTCTAATGATGTTTAAATAATTGGCTTCAATATGATATCAATGACCCTTCAATATATGATAGGAAATGAGGGCGGGCCTGACATGTGATTGTTGGTCAAAAAAAAAGAAAGCCAAGTTCATAATCTAGGGACAAAGCCGCCCTCAAAGAAGGCATTTGGATCAACTTTGTTCTATAACATTTTCAAGAAAACATATGCAAAATACATGTTCTATTTAACATCCAAATGCTTAAATCAGGCAAAGTAATCCCCAAATATTGTGATAATGTAATGCATCTCAAAAATGAATACGCTCTAAAACATGAGATGTGGCCTTAAAAAGGGATACCAAGGGCGTGTTGTTAGCAGCTTAATGGGACTCACAGCTTATTCGGTCAGCTACACATGATTGTTTGGTAGTGGTTTAATGATATAGAAAGTTGCTTATTCAGTAAGCTTCTAAAGGAGAGCTTCATGCAGATAGCCAAGCTTTTTCCAAACATGTCTCTCCCAAATAAGAAACACATTCCTTCTATCTATGAAAAAAATAACCTCCCAAAAAAAACCTTTGCAATATATATAGACAGGTTTACCCATACAGGACTTGATGGAAAACCAACCAAACAACCCCTAAGAGAGTGCTAACTATAAAATGCTTCAGCCTAATTGTTTTATCACTTAACTTTAGATACTCCCTTCTTTCCCAAAAAAAATTACATCCACTTTTCAATTTTTAAAGATTCCAACCAACTCCTTTTCAACTTAGTTCCACATCTCCAAATATAACCATTAAAATTTACTGATAAAGAATTTTATTATTGTCGATGTAGAAGTTGAAAATATCCCATCGGAACAACATCATAACCCAAAGTACTGAAGGGAACCCCAACTCAGCCCAAGCAAGATCATATCAAATACTCCCTCTGTCCAAGAGAAAATGTAATGCTTCACATAGCAATTCATGAACCAAAGAAGTTCCTAATCTCAAGTAATAACTATTAAAAGGTATATTAGAGCATCCACAGCAGGGGAGAACCCACTATTGTATACGGTGGCACGGGCCACCGCATCGTTCCTCCGTTGTAGTGTAAAAAATTATAGGGTCGTGAAAGGTGTCACTCTGTCATTTTGTTCTGTGCAACTGCATATGTTTTGAAACTAGAATGGTGACAACACGTTTTCCTTGGTAGAGTTGGTTTGCATGGTTTCTCCCACCCCAGACCCCGGTTCGAATCCAGTTTATGTCTTTCTCCTTGGCTTTTAGCTTTTAATTTCAAATTTATTATGTATCTGAAATACCTTGCAACAAAATGACTCAAACACAGAACCTCACATATGAAAAGCAAAGAACTAACCAATAGACCGATGATAATTTTGTGAAAAACATCCATATCTTTGTTTCTTATAGTCCAATGGTGCCACCACTTTGAAAAAATTTCTAGGTCCGCCTCTGATCCACAGTAGAGGTTCTTGTAAGAACCTCACTCTTCTACTTTTTCGTGCCACTTCAATAAAACTTACCAAAAATCAAATGGATGCTTTTTTAGGCAACCCAGATAGGAAGTGTTGGCATTTTCTTTCAAACAGATGGAATACCATTTATCTAGTCTAAGGAAGTGCTCCCTCCATTTCAGAATCTTAAAAATCTACAGATTGTCTGAGAATGCCAAGCAACATCCTTTGCTATTTCAGAGAATTGATATGCAAGTCCAAATACTTTCAACAAGAATATATATATATTATTACACATGTATTACCAATTTTAACCAATTCTATAATTAGGTAAAGACTGATACTGAACTTGTGATGAAATCCATACCAATTTTGAATTCGAAGAGTAATCTTCATGATCTCATGAGTGAAAGTTCAACATTTTTGATAGATGTTCAAGTATAAGAAGCTTAACTAACCTGAATGACGCGAGAATGATCCGTAAGTACGATTAATTCAGTACCAGAACCATCATCATCCAATTCGGTACAATCTCGAGGTATCTCAAACGAAGAAAGAGCAAATTGTTTATAGACAACACCAACATCAAAGTAAATGATACCAGTCGTAGGAACATCAACATGGATTCCTTTCACCGGAAACCAAAGGAATAGATCCTGAGTCGCGATTCCGGAGAGATTAGAAATTTGACCGTAGCTAAGAGATCCAGAGAAATTCCAATCGAATCGAACCCTGGTTTCGAATTTGGTATTACATGAACTGTTCAAATGCACTTGGAATCGTTGAGTTGATGGATCAATTGTGAAGTTTGTGATTCCTTTCGGGAGGAGACCAATTGGGAGACCATTTGAGCTTAGGGCGTCGTAAATCGATGGCGGTGATGATGATGATGATGATGACTGTTTTAAGATGAAGAACAATGATACGATCGTCGATAGAAGATGAAACCCCATTTTTGATCGGAGGAATCTATGAAGAAATTCGAAGGATTGTGTCAGGTTAGGGTTTATCTAGAAAAGGGAAACAAAATGGAGAGAGAAGTTTGGCTTTTATAGTTCGCCGTTTTAAACCTTTTTTTTCTTAAATAATTAAAATTTAAAAACAAATTACGTGGAAAATATATTTTTTCATGTAAATTTTATTTTCAAGAAAAAAAAATTAATAATAAAATAGACTTTTACGTAGAAAATCATTTTTTTACATATAGTATATAATTCATTAAAAAAATATTTAAGGGGTGTTTGTGATTGTTTATTTTAGATGTTTTTTGACTTATTTCAGTCTGGCACCGGTGATAATATTAAATACTACTGTTTGGATGAGGAAAAATAAAATTGTTTATACAGTATCAAACTGATAATAAACAGTTTTTGATAAGTTAATCATTCCTGACTTATGAAAAACTGTTTATTACCAGTTTACCATTTTAACCTTGTTTTATTAATGTTTGTTAATTATTAATCTTATTGATATAAATTATTAATTTTATTGATATAATTTTTTGTCAAATATATTATTATAAATGATGAAAAATAAATTTTTACATGTTAAAAATTTTAATAAATTAATAAGCAATAAGTCAATAATATGGATGACTGTCTTTTTTGATCATTTTACATATATAAGCAAAATTTGACAAACACTAAAAACAACTTATCAGCTTATTGTTTTTTGGTACCGCTATAAGCTAATCCATATGCTTTTTATAAAACTCCGGTTTAATACCACATAAGTTAATAAGCACTTTTTACAACAACAAAAAAAACACATAAGTTGTTTTAAATAAGCAATCCCAAACACCCCTTAGGTGACGTTTGTTTTTTAAGAGGTGCTGAAGTCTGAAATCTTATTTTACTTCTGATTAATAAGAAGTAGTGTTGAAGTCTGAAATCTGAACTGTTTGTTTTTGTAAACTGAATACCGTATGAATTTGTTTCAATTGTCTATTTACTGATTAGAAAATTATAATGTTGAACTTATAGATATTTTTTTCAGTTTCACGTATTTATTAATCATCATTATGAAATTTATATTTAAATTACATAATTAACATTCATTTAAACGAAAATATGTTATTAACGGTGTTTAATACATTTACATCCTAATAAAATATATTAATTGAGAGAGGTGAGGATTGATTTGGTAAGGATCGATTGCGATAAAATGATTGATTAAGGTTAATCGATTGAGAAACATCGTTATTAAAGATTTGAAAAACAATAAGAGACAAATAAGAGGTTGGTTTACCTCTTATTAGATAAAAAAAAAATAAGACATAAATGTCTCTGAAATTTTGAAAAAGGTAAACAGTCTGAATGACTTTGTCTCTTAACTAATCAGACATAAGGGGTTGAAAAGAGTTTTTTTTTTTTTTATGAAAAACAAACAATGCCATACATTTTTACACAGCATCTCCAACAGCTTTCTAAATTTTTTAAAATAACAAAGAAGAAAGCATAAGTTTTCTAAAAAAATTTACATTCATCTCCAACAGATTCTCTATTTTAGAGATTTTAACATAAATTATATTGTTATAATATTCTTTAATTTATCATCTCAATACAATTATTATATAATAACTCAATTTTATTGTTGGAATTAAATAAAATAATAATTTGTCTCTCAATATCAACTTCGAGATAATTCTTTATATTTAGGAGTTGTTTGGCAATTGCTGAATGGTTTGGTGCAAAATGATTAAAAGACTCTCATGATATAGTGCARAATGAAATATAATTATTTGGTAATTGTGTACAATGAAATTAGGGCTCTTAATGGTTAAGGGATAATGGTTAAGGGAGTTCCAAGATACAAAATCATTCAGAGGGTTTTAGAACCATTAAAAGACAGACTTTTTTTTTTGCCAAATAAGATTCATCTCTTAACGATTCAGATGTTGCCTCTTAATGTGTTTTCTCTATAATTCTCTATTTTAGAGAACAAGATAGCAAAGCTGTTGTAGCATTTTAAAGAACAAAAACTCATTTTTTTCTATTTTAAAAAAGTTGTTGGAGATGTTCTTAATTATTTAAGTTATGTTATATCCCTTACTTTTAATTTTTTTATGGTAGACTATTTTTATATTAACACACGTAATCGTATATTAACGAAAATGCAGTAAAGAAATACACCATTATAATCGTCTCGTTAATATGTTTAAAATAAACCCAACATTAAATATTGTTGGATTTAATCTTATATTATTAAATATTATAAGTAGTTATAAATTATTTTCAATACTTACATTTTATATTCTTATAATTACAGATTAAATAAAAAACTATTGGTAAAACATCTTGTTCCATAGGTTGTATTGGTAAAACATATCTTGGTTTCATTTTGATCCATAGTGTGGAGATGCATGTCATGTCTGTTCTATATAAAAGTCTTATCAAACGTGAAATAGTATATAAAAGGACAAATTGCATGGAAAAATTACATATTTTAACTTGATTCCTATTTCGGGTAACGTACTTTCAAAAAATTTATTTTGCTATCTAAAATGTAAAATTTTAAACATTTAAGTACCTAAGTAAATGATTGAAGCATTAATTGGTCATCATGCTAATCTGACGCGTGATGTGATATCCAATTCAGTATATTTATGCTAACATGGTTAGTGACATTAATTTTTTTAATCTAAAATTAATTTTTAACTTGTTACCTGGGTACTTAAATATTTAAACTTTACATCGTAGATACCAAAATGAAAGTTTTGAAAGTATGTTAGTACTTCACTTTTTCATGTAATTTGCGCTATAAAAAATGTTGAAGAAGCTCTTATGACACTTTCTTTCTTTGATTGGGTAATAATTAATATAACACTCTACATGATCATATCTTATTATGAATATGATTTAAGAGTTGTTTGTTTACCTCTTAATAGTTCTACTAAGAAACAACCTCTGAATCGTAAAAGGCAAATCTTGTTCGGCAAAAAAAAAGATTTGTTTCTTAATTGTTTTAAAACCCTTTGAATAATTTTATATCATGGGTCTACCTGAACCATTTAACGTCCTAATTTCATTGTAAACAATTATACTTTATCTTATACTATGTCATAAGAGTTTTTTTAATTATTTTGTACTAAACCATTCAACAACTGTCAAACAGCCTCTTAGATAAAAATATTGTCATCACATGTAATTATAAGCACAAACACAGAGACAATTGTTTTCGATACAAAATATATCGTCAATGATAACTATGCATAATCACATGTGATTATGCTTTAAGATACACCCAATATACCTCAAAGCCTTGGCTTCTTCACACGGTGCCTTGGTTTAACCCGCACATTGTGTCCGTTCTCTACAACCTTTGGCTCAGCTTCTTAGAGGGACTACAACCTTTCAGGTCCCGGAAGTTTGAGGCAGTAACAGGTACATGATGCCCTTAAACGTTCTAGGCCGGACATGCACTAAATGTCCATATTTTATTTATGAGTTACGTTCAAAAATAAATAAATATTTTTTAATTTTCAACTTAATTTTGAGATAGAAAAACTCGATAATCCACTGAATCAAGTCTAATCGACATTTTTTGTCCAACAGGTTTAATATAGCAAACACGAGCATATTTTCACAAACTAAGAACTTGTTAATACGTGTTATAAGCAGATCGGGTGTACCCACTTATAAACGGGACGAAAAAGTTGTACAATTAATAAAACAAAACGGTTCAAAATATATAATTTTCTTCCCGTCTTGAAATAGAACGTAAACAGATCGGGCCAGCCAGTCCTAAATCGGCTTCTCTAACAAGCTATACTTTCGGTGAACAACTCTACTACCAACTACTTTACATTGTGTGCATATGCATTCATATATGGTAACTAAGGGGACGTTTACCAAACGCTTACCGAGTGAGCGCTTACCAGCATGAGTCACCACCTTTACCTTATCGGGTTACATTCTCAACCATCAAAATGGATTGTTGATAACCGACTACTACCCGATAAGCGATTACAGGGTAAGATTCTTCTCCATCATTTACAGAGCAAGATTCTTGGTTTTCACTAGGCCTCTTACCGTATAAGATTCTTGGTCTTTGCAATGTTCACATGATGCGACACCCGTAGTCCTCAACTCAATAACTCAACTCAACAAGTGTTCGGGAAACTTCCCCCAATATGCCATTTACCAAACGCTAACCAGATAAGTGCTTACCAGGCCATTTACCTAACCGCATGAGCATAGCAAAGACCGAGAATCTTACCCGACAAAGAGAATGGTGATCTTACCCAAGAACCCCAGTATATCTCACATGAAGATTGGCATATTGTTGTCTACCCGAAAAAGTAGAGTGACGGTTTTAATAATGATCTCCAACTTGTGAAAAATGTATGAAAGAAAGTTAAAAGAGTTAGTCCAGCAAACGGTATGCTTGACGTTCAAATAATTTCATAACGAAACCAGAATCCGTCAAGAAAAGCATAGACTTACAGCGATAAGACGATAGTATAATTTGGGTGCCACAATCCTGCACTTAAAAGCTCTGAACATGGTGAAGAAGATGCAACACTACTATACATAGAGCTGCTCTAGAAAAACAAACATAAAACGGTAATCCCGATAAGAAAACAAATACAAGAGCAGTTTCTTCTAGTATCAAATTAGAAATCCCACTAGTTCAACCAAAAAAACAAAACAAATGTTCCCAGAAAAGAAGAAACCTTCTTTCATCCGCTTCATGGCTAGTATCGGTCATAGCGCCTGCTCACGAGTTCAAATTAAAGAATATCATCAAAATGTGATCAAATGAACCAAATACAAACATCATCATCCCACACTATCGAACATCTTTGAGTGTGTTTGGTACGAAGATGGGATTGGACGGGAAGAGAGAGAGAGAGGGTGAGGTAGGTGAGTCAAAGAACTGTGCAAGGTTTTAGGGTGAGTTTGGTATACTGAACTGAAAAGAACAGAACAGGGATCACTCTTCTACATTTGGCATGACTTTTTTGTGGAACAAACAAGAACACAGGGGAACGGAGTGTTCCACCCACACCTTATGCAACAAGGTGAAACATGCCTATATTTTACCAATATACCTTCAAAATAAAACCTAAAATCTCCCTCTTTACATTTTACCGATTCTTTAAATTTTATTTATTGTATTTTATTCTCTTTAAACTCACTTTACTGTCCTCAAAATATTATTTTTTATGTATTCTATAGTTTGGTTAATTTATGCAATTTATTAAATATTAATAAAAATAAAACAATATAGAAAATGTATAAAAATAAAATTTGGAAATTAGTGAACTCAAAATTTTGGTGTCAAGATTCTTGTCTTGACGAAAACTTTCTAATGATATATTTTGTTACAAAAAACATTTATTATATTTGAGTAAATTACCTTTTTAGTCACGGTTTGTTAAAAATTGCAATCGTCCCTGTGGTGGTTTAAAAATTGTAGTTTTCGTCCCTATGGTTTGTAATTCATTGCTATTTTCAACCTATGTTGTCGTTTCGGTCCATGTGGTTTACAATTCTTTACTATTTTGGTCCCTTGTACTTTAAAAGTAGGACTTAGTCCAGGGAAAAAAACAACAATAAATCATAGACTAAAAGGACTAAAACAGTAATTTCTAAACCACAGGAACAAAAAATAGCAATTTTTAATAAACCATGGGGACGAAAATTGTAATTTAATCATCATAATTTAATAAATTACATAAATTAATCAAAATATAGAAAAAGATATAAACAAGTCATTAGGGGTACAATGGTCATTTTACCAGTCCAGTCATGTCAGTCTTACCAAATGCTGAACAGTTGTCTTATCCCGTTTTGCCCATCCTGGGTACCAAAACGCACCCTTTAAAATGACATGACATGGATTGTTTAGTAATTTACAAATAGTCGCATCTGCGTGATTTTTGTTCAACCTACTTTCGTGGGACAAAAAATGATGTTTGTCCCACTCAATCACGTCTTGTCTGGGTCAAAATCTTGAACAAAACATGAAAAAAAATTGCTCCGTCCTATCCAGCATACCGAACGCATTCCTAGGAACTTCTATCCAACATGGCATATAATTTGATTCTCACCAAGGGCTATCACTTCCTTTCAAAACACACCCATCGGTCCAAAGATCTAAAATTTTCCTAATTGATGCGAGGAAGCGTTTTGCATGAACCCAACAGACAAGTTGGAGGGGAAAAAAAACATAGGATAGGATGGTTGGTTATTGCTTAATGCATGCATCTATGAGTCAAACTAAAGTCATCTTAAAAGGGAAGCTAATAAAGCATGAAATTAGGTTAGGTTATAGAAATGGAACCTTTGACGATCATAATCCCTGGGACGCTCCCTTGAGTGCGATCGCGATCTGTGCCGACTCCTTGAATCATAGCTACGCGAACGATCTCGATCTCTTTCTCTATCACGATCATAACGGTCATAGCCACGACCGCGATCATGATGCCTATCACGGTCTCTACTCCTACGATCATGATCCCTTACACGATCACGGCTACTTGCTCGATCATGATCTCTGCTTCCTTCCCGCTCAAGATCCCTGCTTCGTTCTTTTGATCTAAGAAATTATTTCAAGGGCATCAACATTTTTCCTCAATGTAAAAAAGGTGACCATTGACACTGTAGTCCCACATTTTGCAGATAAACAATGAGAAGATACAAAAAAGAAATAATTACCTTCTGTCATCTTCAATAGGCTTCCTTTTATTGTTTCTCTCTTCCTGATAAAATCAAGACAAAAAAATCACACCTGAGTGCTTCAAAAAACAGTCCCACCAACAGAAAATAGAATCTTGTGAAGCAAATGATATATTACTAACGTCCAGTGTCATAAAAATGATAGCGAAAATGATATTCCAAATTACGTCAAATTGCTACAAGAAAAAAGGATGACTTGAATGCGAGTGCCTCTTATAGGTTAGAAGAACTTGGAGATGATAAATTGTAAATCAGGTACGTCATAACCGAAAGTGAAAATAAGCTGGCACCAGATTCAAATACATTAAACACCAATATGGTTACATGCAGATTCAAGCGGAAGTACAAACACCGACATCAATTGAAGAACCAGTAAACCAGATACCATATTCAGTTTTTAAAGAAGTTAGCAAGTTAAAATACAAATGCAGGATTTGAAAAGCAAATAGCGGAAGTCATCATTCAGGGTTAAAAAAGTAAGTAATATATTACCTGAAGATCAGCTAACTTCTCCCGAATTTGCATATAGCCAAGGTGTAGCTTTCCTCCAAAATGATCCGCTAAGCGGCGGTCACTGAGAGACACGTTATAAGAACATAACAATTCATCAACTTAAAACAATTACCGACCCATCATAACTAATAAAGATATCATAAAACTGTCCCACAATTGTTTAGCTAATGGTAGGATGATCAACAAGCATATTGCAGAAATTTAAAAAACGCACATTCTTTAGCTGCAAAAGTTTATCCTCGTAAAACTGGGCCCAAAAGCCTGCTGGTGACAAGGAGGTATAATCGCCAGGTCAAACACTGAAGTACTTTAAACCCCAAATACTAGTTCTTGGTCATCCTTTAAATAACTAATTAAATAAGCTCTTCATCATATCTAAAGAAGAAAAAATTACCTGTCATAAACACTTAAGAACGCTCCACATATGTCACAAACACGTAACTTCTGATCAGTCTGTAAAAAGCAAAGCAGGATGGTCAAGCAAAAAGAAGCTCCTAAAGTTTACAAGTTATCAATTGCATTTGAAAGAACATTTTTTAAATAAATGCTACCATATCTAACAACCTTTTTAATCATTGAAAAGAACAAATTTCATGATGGTAAATTTAATAAAAGCTGCCATGCGAGGTGGACTATTATATCGGAATTCGGAAGTAGATGAGATAGAGAACTTACAACTCGCACATCTGCAGCAGTATACTTAGACGAGTCTGTAACTGTTTCCTGGCGAGGAGGCAACTGCATTGAAAGCTACATAAAAAATTGAAAAACATAAGAACAACCAAGTATACGAAAGAGAGAAACAAGGCAAACCCACAAATGATCGAGTATAACAGCAAGCATTAACCCAAACTAGTTGGGGTAAGTCTCTACAGATCTTTAACCAACCCAAGGTCTCAGAAGACATGAACACTCAGGTCACAAGAACATGAACAACATGCTTTTACGTTCTCCACTAACAATCCCGTGCATTGCAATACCTCCGTCAGTCAAACATCTAGACTATTTCCGCCAGCATCTCTGGGCCTACCGTCCCTCTCCATGCACCCTTCTCTAGAAATAGTCTCACCTTATCATCGGTACATCCTGTTGGAGTCCCACGTCGGTTAGACTTGGACCATTTCTCCTAAACATATGTTGCAACCTCCCTTCTCTCCTCGAGGACTCTTTTGGAGAGTAATCTAATGGGGTTTCACATATTCTCACATGGTATCAGAGCCAAGGTAATTTGTACTCAGCTAGGTCCCTCTCTTGTCTAGCCCCCTTTCAACACTCTGGAACAATGCGTGTCTGTCTAGCCTTCATTGGAGGGGGCGTGTATCAGCTAGACTTGGACCATTTCTCCTATATATATATATGTTGGAACCTCTCTTCTCTCCGCAAGGGCTCTTTTGGAGAGTAATCTAATGGTGTTTCACATATTCTCACACATCCCAAGTTCTACATCAAGTATAACCAAACTATCTGTAGCGATGTTCTCGAAATATACTCATTGGTCATCTTTATCATCCTTGTGTAGCAAAGCCTCTACCCTACGACTCAGCATTTAAATCTGTGTTGCAATCACACAAATATTGGCATGTAAAATTATAACAGAAATCAGGACAAGCAACTAAGGTACATTGCAGATATTTCAAAATATGCTTGTCTGATCCATAACATCTTATCATTGACAAGCGAGTTGAATACATCCTCCATACCCAACCATCAAGCTAGTTAACATATCATTCTCGTGATCATAGTTTATAAGATAATCAGCTTGTATGGATCATAGAAGAAAGTTTGAGAATATTAAAGGGACCTCCATAGTGGATTAGGAAATGTAATCCGCCATTTTCTCTACTTTCTTCTTCACTGGTATATAAATTAGCCAAAAATCAAGGCTATGCTAAGGGTTCAGATGCAGAATGCATGTCTTGCATAAGTTGTTCACTTACATGTATACCTAACTTGTTCTAACCTTAACATCTGCAGCTGATAGTATTCTTAAAACCCATCACATTTTGATTTTGAAAACAGTTAACCGTCCAATCAAAAATCTAAATAAGCTTTTGAGGGTCATACTTTTAGGAGTATATACAATTTAGTGACCAATGTCAAAATTCTAATTTTTACTGACCAAAATACTTATAAAACTAAGGTCATTCCCATGCGGATTGAAAATTGATGCTTATCGTTTATTACATTGTTGTTGATGAGGTGATGATGTGTACTTTTTTAAAACATTTAAATGCTGATACTTAAAAGTTGAGCAAAAAATCAAATATACAAGTATCAGCTCATCAAGTACAAACAACTGATGCATAAAATCTCACATAAAAGTAATAATGCAAAGGATTTGAAAATGATAATGGAACATGTTCAATTCTAAAAGGCTTTATTACAAATATTAAAAATAATTTAACACTCACACATACATAGGAAATGGCTGACGCCCTTATCTATGGCAAAACCCATTTCAAATCCCTTACCATCTTCCATGCCAAAACAAATCCACGCATAGCTCTACCCTAAAAACAATTAAATTCCATTTCTTTTGCATCCCACTAGTCCTCATCTTCATCATCTAGAGTAGGGGTGCACATACATTAGGTTGGCTGGATTGAGGGCAGTCCAGTAACCAACCCAACCCAACCAACTACTTCGGGTTAGAGAAACGTAACCCCTCAAACTATTTTCCAAATGCTTGTACACCTTAGATATCTCTTGATTGTACTCAAGAAATGATACTTGTATAATAGACTTTCTACTCAAAGAGATAATTATAATACACTTTATTTTATAATGAAATAGAACGAAAATCACCTTATTAGTTATTACAAATTGATAAATATTTTTGTCACCAAATTCTAAAATCTAAAAGTTAGATGTCCGAACCCTGTCCCCAAAAGGTATGATCAATGATTGTCTTTTATGTTTTTCTTTTACTATAAATGCATGGTCAACTTCACTCAATTCTTTTTGGGTTGTCTTAAATAGAATGAAGAGCTAGACAAAACAAATGAACTCTTCCTTCATTACTTCGTATGTTATCATCATTTTATACCCAAACTCTCAAGACTATTTAGAAAACTAGTCAATGGTGGCCCTCCATGGATTCACCTATATAAGCTGCAGCTGAAGTTGCAATAATTAGAGCTTGAATACCATTTGTAAATAATCCAAGAAACATGACAGGGATAGGAACCACTGAAGGCTAACCTAGCCTCCTCCGTCCCCCGGGACCAGCAAGGGGTAGTACAGGAATTTTCACCTATTGTCCATTGACTACATCTTTCGGCCTAATCTTAGGCCCTGACTCACCCTCCCTGGACGAACCTTGCGGAGGAACCCTTAGGTTTTCGGAGCATTGGATTCTCACGAATGTTTGCGTTACTCAAGCCAACATTCTCACTTCCGCTTCGTCCACTGCCGCTCACGCGGGTGCTTCACTCTAAGGCGGAACGCTCCCCTACCAATATATTTTTACATCCCACAGCTTCGGCAGATCCCTTGGCCCCGTTCATCTTCAGCGTAAAAGTGTTGATAAATTCTAATCCTCTTAGGGAATTAAATTTATGCATAAGACAAATCTTCATTTCCATCCTTTTCATGCTTCTATTTGATGTCTTCACTTTCCAAGAAAATATTCATTTCTATTCTTTTTGATTTTTCGCTCATTAGAGGATGAAGTCTTAGTAGACAAATATTCATTTCCGTTCTTTATCCCCCTAATGCCAAAGAAGTCTTCAACTTTGCCATTTTTACTTCAGGTTTCGGTGTAATCAAATGTTAATCTCAAAGTACACTCATTTTCTACTCATGATCGATTTCATTCTAAGTATTCAATCTACAACTTTGGATCAAAACACAACATGATTTTCCAAAATGTTTACAAGCTAGAGCTGAATTTGAGTTCCAAAATGAAATTTGAGCTATAAATTTGATGAATGTACAACCTAGTCTCACTAATTAACACAATAAAATTGGCAAAAGAAAACATACATCACGTCATTTCACACTCCATGAGCTCGCCTTGACCTAGGGTGCAATCATATTCCAATGTGGAAAATACTAGCCAACTTCTACGATAAAGAAAAAGAGAACCAGAAATCTTTAAATATTGAAGACGTATAATTCAGAACAGAAATGGTTGAAATAGAAAAATAATGCATATTAAGAAGTGGTCAACCTTTTTAAGTGCTTCAGCCTCTTCGAGCGCTTTTTGTGCTTCATCCACCATTCCTTGCTCGCCTAGAAAATGAGTGTGTTAATTACAAGATTTATTTCACAAAAACATAAATAAATATATGATGCAACTAAAAGCAGTGCTATATGCAGGTGTACTATATACATATTAGATACAGCTTTTTACTTTAAACAAACAAAATGAACAAATCCATTGACCATCCCAGCATATTAATGGCACTGCTCACAACCACTGTGTTAAGGACAAAAATAAATAAATAAAATGTTCCAGAAACCATGTTCTTACCAATTTATTATACCTAGAAAAGAACCAAGACTCCGAATTATTAACATCCAGACCCTGTTGAGCGGTTTACAGGTGTATATTCGCATTAGTCATTTACGGACACAGTGATACAAATACTACCCATAGCCATAAACGTGGACGACCTCCCTAGGCTCAACTAAGATGAACTTTTTGCTCACCCTGTATTATGAGAAGATTTTTCCCGATCTACATAGATCAATATACTGATAAAGTGATTACAGAACTTACACCATGGCATGTCAAAACAAGAAATACAAAGGCAAGAACCAAAACTTTTATGTACATGACATTTTGTTTAAGAATGCATGGTGTAAAACTATAAACAACGCAACACATGACTTAATTCTGAGTCTAAATCATCATATGTTGTAGACAACAAGGGAGTGACCGACAAAGAGAGTATGAAAACAACAGACTCCTTATACCAATTTTTTGTAATACACATCATATAAGGTACCACAACTTCTGTAAAAATTATTAATTAACCTCTGGAAAACAATAACAATAGTACTAACTTTAGCAACAACTTTCCTAAGCTCAAGTTCAAAGCAATTTTACAGCTTAAACACAATTTACAAGTCATCAAAGAAGCATTGCTCTAAATTTGAAAACTGTCATCTTAAAGAATTGCTTTCTTTTAAACAATAAGCCAATATGTGCTAGACTATAAGAAAGATATTCAAATAAACCATATCATGTCAACACCTAAGATGTTGATGCATATGCTAAAGCTTTCCATCTTGGGGTATCTAGAAAGTAGGAAGTGACAGGGATCGTCCATGAATGTTATATGTTCATAGTTTAACTATACTATAAACAAGGAGAAAACGCCTGTACATGGTAAAGAGAATGAAACATGTAACTGAAGAAGAAACATGAAAAGGAGAATGTTACAAAGACACATGAATGGAAAAAAGAGAAAGACGTCCATTATAATGTGTAGTTAATAAGGGTGTAAAATAATGTGTGGAGCCACCCATCACATGTATGTAGACCACATATGCAAATGAAAACCGAAAATAAAACAACTCACAATGATTTGTAAATTCAACTTACCAAGATCTTCTGCTTTTTTCAGCTTCTCGTTAATCAACTCCTGAGTGCGAGCATCAGGAGTAGCCAAAGGCAATGGTGCCAATGGAGGAGGATTTGCAAGCGGTTGAGGTAAAGAAGCTCGATCTTTGTTGAATGCGTCCAATAAAAGCATCGACTGGTAATGGAAACAAAACCACTCAGAATGAAAACAAAAACAAATTGCCAATGATCAGCGAGTAGATGGCAGTCAAAAGACCTGATGATTCATGGAATCCAACAAAAAGACTATAACTTCATCCATCCCAAACAAATGACCCTTTTGCTCAAATGGTTTTCAAATTAAGATGATCTCTAATTGTTTTCATTAATCATATGTATCAATTCCTCCAACCCAAACATAGGTCCGCTTAGCTATTTCCATGGAATTGCAATCTGAAGATAAATTCTATTGGGCAATTCCGTTTTTTTAAAGATGAGCAAACAATGAGCTCTTCGTAATGACAGCTTTCGAAACATAACCTTTTCAACAGAGAATTTTAAGACTTTTTGTAAGAAAGGAAGTATCAGGTAAGAATCAAAATTCACCCTCTGAGCATCTGAGAAAATTGCACTGTGATGGATTATATTAAAAAAAAAGGGCTCCCACATGCAAGATTTTATCAAAAAAAAAAACATTGTTTAAAAGTCATTTGATTAATTTAATTGATTGTTGAACTTATAAGAAATATTTTTCAAGAAAAGTGAATAAAACATGTGCTAAAGAAATTACAAAAAAATATACAAGTATTTTTTGAACAGTTGAAAAAAACTAAAATGCCCACTTAATTTTTGAGCCGAAACTGAAAGCCAAAAGATTCAATAAATTCATCATGGAGCAAGTAACCATTCCAAACAATCAGTCTTTTGTCAAACAATACAGCTTTATACCATGCTAAACACATTTACCATTTAATCAAGCAATAGGTTTATTATACCCTCAAAGTACATTGTTATCATAATTATTTACAGAACTCTCGAGTAAATCTGTGAATGCAGTTAACAAACCAGCCAACTAGAAGTCTAGAACCCAATTGTTCTCGCTTTCCCTTTATATAGTTCAGAGAGCAAATAAAAAATTATACTTATCTACCACATTTGCATATAATCACAGCTTTATTTAGATGTCTAGGAGAGCACATGTACCTGTTTGTCTGCTCTTTGTGTTCTGAGTTCTTCAACCATCTCCAAAGCTCGAATCTTCATATCTGCTTTCCCTTCCAAGTCTGGAATGCCGCAATTAAAATAAAAGAAAAGAATGATCAGAAATCAAGAGATAATAGTCTAGCATATATTTATGTGACCAAGAAAACAAATGACTTAGAGCTGCTAAGCTATAGTTAAATTAATCATATCAAATAGCATGCAAAATAATGAAATGTCACTTAACCAAAAAAGATTATAGTTAAAATTGCAATGAACACCTATGTCTGCTACATTAGATTCGACTTAACTGGAAAATGACAAACAAACTGAAAAGCTTAATGACTTAAGAACCTAGAGATCTTTTTGTTATTATCAGAAAGTAGACATGAATGTTTGGCTTTTTCCATAGATGTCAATCAGTCATAGAAGAGCTTTGAAGTTCGGATACAGATACACTTTAAAAACCTGAATACATCGGAATATCAAAATCACCCTGAGTATATGCTCAAATAACTCTATGCGTCCAGCTCAGATGAGAAATCAATGCATGACAAACAAAGCTTGCTACATTTTTCCTCAGCAAAAAAATGAAACTCCAACAGCAGCAAGGTTATCATTTTTCACATGGAAGTTTGTATCCTTTTATCAAAGAAACAGCACAAAAGAATACACTTAAAATGAACTTCAGGCAATTCTCTTTACTCAAATGAACAAGTAATTTGAGTAAGATCTGAGTGCTAACCGAACACCACTTAGATATTAAATTTGCAAAGTACTTAGGCTACTGCACTCATAGCATGCCATGTGTTCCAGCGTTCAGACAAACATATATTAGTTAAGGATGACAGACACTAGCATAACTCAGTCCAAACTTACTGATTCTTGCGCTGGTTTGGAATGACGTGAAAACAAATATAAAAGCATACAGAAATATTGGAGTAAATTTAAAAGATTCAACTGCAACCAAAAGACTTAACCATATTGATCAGCTTCTTTCAGCTTCTCCTTTATCTGCTTGGACAATTCAAGAATCTCAGGTGTCTGCACGTTTAGCAAATCAGCAAATGAGACGAACCATAATTTGATACAAATGTGCATAGAGGCAGGCGTTATTCAAAAAAGCCAAGAAATCCAATCCACCTGAGTAACCTCCGACACAGAAATAGCAATAGCTGCTTTAGCATCCTCCTCACTAAGACGTTTAAGAGCTCTGGCAATTTTTCTGTCACATTCAACAATGAGCCTGTCTATAACATCCTCCAATTCCCTATCATAGTTATCTTGACCTTTTGCCTTGGCTTCTTGGTATCTGAATGCAGTTAAGTAACACCGACACTAAAAACACTAAAGTTCAAATCTCAAACATAGTATACGATAGGAGATATAATCATGCATTTATCAGCTCTATAAAGCTAAAGAGCAAAAGTCAGAAGTAAAACATAAAGTGGCAACATCAAACACATAGCATAACTGTCTAAATAACCAAATATGGTCCAGTTATAAGGGTGAAAAAAGGATACTCTTTCCTCAGCTGAAATGAGTGCACCTTCGGGCATGGTCCCATGTCCATTTTCTGAAGTTGAAAACACAAACATTGAGTAAGCGTGGTACAATTTGTAACCAAAACAAAACGAATGGCTAGCTCAAATCATATGAACATGTAGACTATAATAAGGGAGAAAGTGCAGTGTAATTACATAATACTTCATAAATTCATTGTTTCTTAAAATGGTATCATTATGTTTTTTACATTACACTGATCTCTCTGTGTTAAATCTCGCTGAGTGTTCCATTAAGGCCCTATAAACGTTGAAATATCGACAATTCCAAACCCTAAACCCAACAAATTTGGTTTCCACTCAATATGCGACTTGAGAATAAAGCATCATTCAATAATCGACAATTTGGCTTCAACTTGCTTTGTTGTTTCATCTAAAGTTTGATTATTGTGCACGAGAGCTATGTAATAAATTGACTAATTTGCAGAATAGGGTTTTCCCCGACCCTCATAACCTACTTTGTGTAGCACCAATACAAAAAATAAAAAAACCCTGGGATGCGGTTTTTTGTCAAGACGATTGTTCTACGAGTACGTGTGTGCATAACTGCATATAGGCAGACAAATGGTTTTGCGTTACTTACAGTGAGTTGGAAAAGTTCGTGAGGACAAAGGCCGACTAAGAAGAGACGACAGACATCACGATCGTAGTACTTGCGATTGACTTCTCTGACATCTCCATTCCGATTTGCTCCCATCAACACATCGAGCTGCTTCCTTATTGCATCCATCAGAACAAACTCCTTCCCTTCTCCGCCCAAAGACGCAGTGGTTAGGGTTTTGGTGTTTGGTTTTCAGGGAAATTTCGGAACAACGCACGATAAAGTCGACGATGTGTGTGTGTATATATATATATATTATATATAGTAGGTTAAGCAACGTGCGTGACCCTACCATCATAGGAACAAATTTCATTTTAATTTTGGTTGTTTTGAGTCCGGTTGTTTTTTTTACTATTTATGGATGTTTGGGATTGCTTATAAAAGCTGTTTTTTAATTTATTTTAGTTTGGCATCGATGATAATTTGTTTTATAGTGTTTGGATAAGAAAAAAAATCGCTTATACCGGTGCCAAATCGGTAATAAGTTGTTTTTGATAAGTTAATCATTTATGACTTATGAAAAACTGTTTATTACCAGTTTACAATTTTAACCATGTTTTATTTAACTTCGGTTTGATACAACATAAGTTAATAAGCACTTTTACAAAAAAAACATAAGTTGTTTTAAATAAGCAATCTCAAACACCCCCTTAATAGGTCTATTAAGAGATAGTTTTTAGATCGTTAAGAGGTGGATCTTGTTTAGCAAAAGAAAATATTGCCTCTTAATGGTTCTAAAATCATGTAGATGGTTTTATATCTTGAGTCTCTTTTAACGATTCAGCGTCCTAATTTCATTGTAAATAATTATACTTCATTTTGCACTATATCATAAAAGTTTCTTAATTATTTTCACCACTTTATCATTTTGCACTAAACCATTCAGCAACTGACAAACAGCCTTTGAATGATCTAAGATTCGAACATGAATCGAAAATAAGGTATTTATTCAAAATTCGAATGATCTGAAATTTGAAAATCTGAAACTTAACTTTTCGATGATATATTAGGGTGTGCAAAACCCGAATTATCCGAAATCAAAAACCAAACCGAAACCGAAACTAAGGTATTTATGCAAACCCGAATGCCTGAAATCCGAAAACCGACTTTTGGGGGAATTTTTGGATTCGGGTTGGGTTTGATTTTTGGTCGCTGAATCCATCTGAAAACCCGAAATATATACATATCTATTTTTAATACCATATAAACATAAGAATTTATCTAATTATCTTTTGAAAATTGTACAAATCTTAGTCGGTCGTATGTTTTTATTTTCTAATTTCTAAGCATACTATCGAGTTATCAATCCTCGAAGTTGATTGAATTCATCGTCAAAATCAATTGGATATACATTTTTTGCATTATAACTAAACCCGAACCCGACCAACCCAAACCCGAAGCAATTTGAAATCTGATCAAATTATTGGTTTACCAATCCGAACTCACTAGCCCCATATGATGCACACCTCTACTTGTAAGTTTTCAGTAATTGTTATAAAGAGTAGAGTTCAATATAACTCGAGAGAAAGACACCACTCCGCCTATACTCCTAAGATACTAAGAAATATATACTGGTGATACTTTGGTACATTAAAATATTATTCTAACTTATAATATGTTACTTCTCTACTCGCAATTTCCTTTTCATAATCAACCATTTGATACAACTTATCCATGCTTCTTACGTTTATCACACTCAGTTAATTTTCTCAATTCACATATATATGTTTACAGTTACTGAACATATATACGAATGAGTTACATAGAGATCTAAATAGATTGGAAACATGTGTATATGAATAGCGTACGTGATAGCGTACTTGTCTAATGTATATATTGACATATTTGTTTCTTACAGTCAAATAGTACCACCACTTGAAAGAATTTATACGTCTGATGGATTATGTAACCTAAAAATCACAATTCGAGTCTCGTGCAATTGTACATGCTAAAATAATATCGTTAGAACACAAGTAAAGTGGTATAAAGTACTAAATATCGTTTCCACGAGGACAATCACAACAAGCAATAATCCAAAAGTCAAACTTAAAAAGTGATTTTAGAAAGTGAATTCAAATGAATGCTTTTGAGTGGGTTAGCAAAGGTGCAAGTTCAGGTTGGAGTTTAGCAACAATGCGTTTAGTACCCATCGGGACCGAGACCGAGTACTCGGAACCGGAACCGACGGGTATCCGCTGTTTTTAAATGAAAATTATTTTATATGTTTATTATATTTAATAAACTGAAATTGAAATTATTATTTTACATTTAAGGGTTACAACTTACCGTCGTTTTGCTGTTGTTAAGAGCTTTTATCAAATTATTTATGTAATTGTTAGTTTTTAGTTTTTATCGGGTTAGTTTTCACTGTTCGTAGTATTTACTTATTTATGTCGGTGTCTAATAATTTTTTTTTAAAAATCATACACCGGGTATCCGGTACCAGAATTGGTTCCAAGACCGTTTCCCAAATATAAAGAACCGTTGTAACCGGTTTCGGCTCCTTCATTCCAAGATCGCTAGTTTCGGCTCAGGAACCAGTTCCATGAATTTTGATCGGGTACCCGCCTTTGCTCGTTCCTAATTTTGATAATTAATAAAATTATACATTTATACTATATTATATAACATTTATACATTATCTTTTAAAATTAATTTTTTTTTCAAATACAAATGTATAAAAATACTGTATACAAATTAATATTGATCAGAGAAACTTATGTCGCATTTGGTTCGCAATATTTTTGGATGTATTAGTTTATGTTGAAGGAATTTGACTTCTAAGGAATTAGAATGAAACCTTATTAGGTTTGACTGAATCTATTAAAGGAATTAAAATTTACTTGTTTGGTTCATAAAATGTAGCTTTGAAATTGGAATGAAATATGGTAAATAACCAAAATACTTTTTTTTAAGCTTTGAATTATTTTCTTAAACTAAAAATATTTTAATAAAATAACCATTTAATTTGTAAAACGGTACAAAATCCATGACCCTAAAAAGAACGAAATCATGACATGTTATTCCATCAAAATACAATTGACAGTTCAAATAACTTATTTGTGGATTTTATATCATACACAAATGTTGTGCGAGAATAAGAGTTAAGATGAAAAATGTAAGAGAGATATAGACCCTTTATCATTTTTAATCTCAACCCACCCCATGACCTGCGTTGCCGACTTGAAATGTGCTCTCAGTTATAGTTGTTCATGGGCGGGACGACCCGTTAAACCCAACCCGCTAGAAATACGAGTTTGGACAATTATTAACGAGAAAATAGACGGGCTCGGGTTTGTTCGTTAAAATTAACGGGCGGACATAGGCAATGTGACAGTAAAAATGGACAGGTTTGTCCAGGCCGTTTATATTTTATAATTAATACTTTTTACCATTAATTATAAATATACTAGTATATTTTAAAATTAAATTATTTAAGTTATATAATGAGACTATTTGGTTATTTTTGTGAACTCAAAAGGGCAAGGGGTTGTTTGTTTATGGAAGTCGGGATTTTGTTTTTCATTTATTTTTCTACTTGTTGAGATCCATATGTCACTTTAGTTGCTTAAAATTTTAATTGCAACAGTGTTTTTCCTTTATTTTATGGTTCCACTTATGTTAATTAATTGGTAGTGAAAGTTTTGAGATTTATAAGAGTTACACTTTTTAGACCCGTTAACCCGTGGGCAAGCCCCAACCTGTTTATAGGTCGGGGCAATGGCAAGTTGTCAAGCCCCAAAAAAAGACTTGGATTTACTTAGGTCCGTTGGACAAAATAAATAAATAAGCCCGACTAGGACTCAACTCAGACCCGCAAATGATCACCTCTACTCTCAGTGTACTGCCATACGCATCTAGACAATAGTCTTATCTTGGAGATAGACGATGGACTTGCCATTCGACATGAGCTTGATACGATAACTGATCCATTGCATTAATGTTGATCTTCAATTATGATTTTATATTAGGGTGAAAACCCTTCTTACCCTTCACATAACTTTCATTATCACATGAACTCAATCATCTACATCTATATCTATACTACTTTATAAACCAGATTTATCAAAAAATTTTAAAATATTTTTTAATGCACAAATACATGTATGCACAAAGTCTTAAAAGTCTTAAAAACAACTTATTATGCATTAAGTACTACTATTTTGTGCATTCAATCTTAAAATATTTTAATCTACAATTAAAATAACATATAGTACAAATTACCAATGCACATTATTATCTATTCTTTTCATGTTCCCAATACACTTTTAACACCTTTCAGTCATGCTTTCACCCTATCATACCTCTATGTCTTATCTCCATCCCCTAAAGTGAGATTCAAATTGATATTTACCATGAATTATTAAAAGTTTTCACATTCAATTGCTCTAGAACTCTCAGTCTCGCTATCAATATCTTAATTATTTGCTCTTGGTGTAAATCGAACACATGTGTGGAATTGTTTAAATATGTTGGTATTTAAATATATTGGATTTTAAACTGTCGTACAATTTTTTTCATCGATAGACTGTAATTGGAACAATAACTTTTAATATTCAAATTGTATTAATATGTAAAGATCAAGTGTAACTTATATCATCGTTAATCTTCTCTAATAAAAGAAGTGAAACTTCAAATTCGTTAAAATTCACAGCTCCCACGCAACACAACTAGTTATTTTACAATATAACAGTTTCACATGTATTTGTTTTATTAAATAAATCTTTTACGTATTTTTTTATTATAGTAAAAAACCTGACATGTATTTTTTTTACAATAACGTAATCATATAACAAAGAATATTAGTTTTCAATTTTATATTATTTATTTCCAAATGATAAATTGTATAAAAAAGTAAAGTATTTTGATTTGATTCATATTTTGGATAAGATGTATTTTCAAAATGTTCATTTTGGTATCTAAGATATAAAATTTTAAACATTTAAGTATCCAGTTAAAGACTAATTTTAGATTAAAAAAATTAATGTCACAACCACATAAACAAATAATACTAAGTTGAATATCACATCAACATGATAACCGATTAATACTTTAATCAATTATTTAAATATTTAAAATTTTACATATTAGATAACTTTTGTAATTTTTATGCAACTTTTTTTCCTTTTCTTTTTCTTCGGAGTTCGGAAGCGAAGGATTAAAATTACAAAAATATGTGAACGGAAAAACCGAAGAACTGTATACAAGAAGTGTGATTTGATCTGCAAACCCTAAACTCTTCCACCATGACACTCACCAGATCCTTGATGCTCCTGCTGCTCTTGGTTTCATCGAATTCAGCTTTTCAATCCGACGAGCTTCTAGTCGACGACGAAGAATTCGGTCTAGAAGGTGGCCGTTCCCCTAATATTGACCTAACACTTTCATCATCACCTCCGATCCCATCTCGTGTTCATTCCCCTCCAAAATCCACTCGTAAGAGGTCGGTGGATTCTGAATCAGACTCCAGAGTTCAATTCGTTCTCGAACACGCGTTGGGGGTTTCCTCCGAGTTCTCCGCCGCCGGCACTTTCACTGCTCGACTCAAGGCTTCTGCAAATGGCGGACAGGTATAAATTTTGTGTTCTTGATGGTGGTTTTGTGAGAAATGTTTAGGAGGTACTGAGTATACGAGTGTTGTCAGATTTGAATGTTAATATCGACGATTGTTTCGAAACGAATACTCTTTGATTTCACAATTGATCTAAAATTCTTAGGGAATTCGTAGTATTTGTTATTAAGTCTATCTCTGTCATTGATTTTTTTCTTCTTGGAAATTTATCGAATGCATATCAAGCTATAGATGAACTCGCAATTTCTGATCTCTAGTGGACCTCTCAGTAAGTTGAATATGGTTTTCTTGTTATCTGATCCGGGCTTGCCCAAGTTATACTGACGCTGATTACCTCAAAAGCATGGGATTATTGGTAATTGTCAACGGAAGAACCATTTGTAACTACTTAATTATCAGTGGTGTCTATGGTTAAATTCCGAGACACATCAAACTTGGATATAAGGTTGGATTTCAGTAATAAGCAGTGAAAGCACCAAATAATGTCTGTCTGGTTTTTCAAATTCAATTCACTACCAAGTAAAACGCATACTGTTTCCTTTTGCATCCTGTTACTCGACACGGTATAAATGGAAACAGCATATACTATTGTTACTTTGTTGGTACGGCAGTGAATTGAATTTGATTAACCAGGCAGACACTGTTTGGTGCTTTCACTACTGAAATCCGACCTGATATCCAGTTTTGGGGTGTCTCGTAATTTAATCATAGACACCAGGGATTGTCAAGTAGTTACAAATGCTTGTGGCTGGCAAGATTAAGCTTCACCAGCGTGCACTTGCCTTCCTATATTCTGCAATTCACCCTTTATACTTTTTGTGAGTCATTGAACAAGTTTTGGTTCTATCATACTCATAAAGTTTAGTTTGGAATCAGGGGGAAAGGGAAATGATAAATGACTGGCCTTCCGGCATTACTTTTTATGTCATGAAGCTCAGCATGATCATGTCTGATTTCTGCACATATATGCAATCATCTTCGTGTAGTTTTATATTTTAAACATTAACTAATAATGAATTCTTACATCTCTTGTTGTTTTGGCATCTATTATCAGATTCTTACAAAGCTTCGGTTCTCAAGGAATGATCTTACTGCAACAGAGAAGGAGAAATTCAAAGTGATTCCTCCCATACATTTTCTTTTTATTATTGCAGCAGTTTTGTTTATGTTTTAATACTTTTATGACTTAATTCTTTTTCTTGATATTATGTTTGTTCAGAAACTACTGGAAGACGACGATTTCTACAGAATAAGATTGCCATCTGACGTGTTAAATGCTTCTGGGAGGGACTATGTTATTTCCTCAGTGAAGGCAGTAAGTGTGAAAGTGGACTTTATGCATCTCCAACGGCTGGTTTATGTATTTTAAATTTTGCCTATGTTATAGTTTCTTAGCACAAAGAAAATAGCAAGCTATTTAATAAATTAACTATTGAAAACTACACAGCCATGAAAAAGCGGAGACATGCTTCTTTTATCTCTTTGCTCTAATAAAAACAATGCTCAGAGGGTAGACCGACTCCATATCATGTTCACCCGCCATCATAAAAAAACGTTATAATCTTCATATTTTATTAGTTGTCTACTTGATAACATGACATCGTCTAGAAATGCCATCTTCCAGATTCAGCTATATGCCTATATCCTCCTGAAACAGTACTGATAGTGCCAATGGTCTGAAAGTTTTATACTTGCTCTCTTCCCATAAAGAAGATGATTTTTCTCCCTATTGAGGGACATCTAAATTACCATGTTCCCTGTTTTTTTGTTATAAGAGCTGGTTTACATGTAGGCTTTTCTGCACCTGTCAGCTCTTGTCTATTAAAGTTATTTCTTTCTCTTTCTTTTCCTAATATCGAAACAAATTAACAGACATAGCTTATCTCATACATCGGTCAATTGTAGCTCAATCTCACAAACGAACCTTGATCCCAGTTTATTTGAAATGATGCCATTAAGAAAACCTTACTTCATTTCAAGTTTGTACCTTATGTCGTAATAATCATGTCCTTGTGTATTTAGTTTTCTGTACATTGGTGGCTTCATATTTCTATATCACATGACATTATAGTACTGTAGTACATATAACTCTATATCTGCAGATCTGCCAAATGGTTAGCGTCTTTCCATATTTTGTTCTAGTTTCTAACATATTTATTTGTCATACAAGTTGCTCAACCTTGTCTTTGTATCTGTTTAATCCAGAGATGTCTCCCGAAGGATGGCTTGGAAGAGCATATTCTTATACACATGGTAATTCTCCTCCTCAATAATTAGAGAAGAGCAAATTACGTTTTTTGTCCCTGTGGTTTTGAAAGTATGGTTTTCATTCTCGTAATTTATAATTCATTTCCGTTTTTGTCCTCATGATTAAAACTTTATTGCCTTTTTTCGTCCCTATGGTTTACTTTTCATTTCTATTTTAGTCCACCATACTTAAAAGTAGTGTTTAACCTCAGGGATGAAAATAGAATGAATTGCCAACCATAGGGACTAAAACTGCAATTTTGAAACCACAATGATGAAATCCGAAATTTGTAGCAAACCACAGGGACGAAAAATGTAATTTACTCATTAGAAAAAGTCGTTCATTAGAGTACAAGTCAAATATCTGCTTATATTCGTCACGGTTAATGTTGATTTAATTCATAAATATATAGTGTTGTTGGTATCTAGTTTGGTAATTGTGCCACTTTGATTAATTTGTACATGCAATTCAGTTATAAATTATAGGACACCAAACAACTTAGGTAAATATACCATCTTGAAGCTTGCACTAATTCTGTATCATCACAGGAAGGTGTTAACATTTTGGCTGTCAGCTACGGTTCTCATGGGGCCTGCCAGCATCCTCGCCAACTGAGACTTGTAAGTTTGCACCAATCCATTTACTCATGAGTTGCAGTTGACGAATACTTATGCTGTGTTATCGAGTTTTATTTAAGTAGGAAAGGAAGGGAAAGGGAAGGAAAGTAGGAGGGAAAGAAAAAGACATTGTGTTCTCGAGTTTTTTTAGGGAAAGAAAAGGAAAGGGAAGGGAAGGGAAGGAAAGTAATGTTGACTTTCCTCCCAAAACTTTCCTCTCAAATGTGGGAGGAAAGGGAAGGAAAGAAAGAGAGAGAATTTATAAAAGTTAAAAATATTTATAAAATAACACATACACCATCAATTACATTCCACTATAAAATAAAGAAGGGTTTATTTTTAAAAATGACATCTTTTCTTTCCTTTCTCTCCTACTCAAGGACATGAAAATTTGTTTTCTTTCCTTCCTTGTTCTTTCTTTCTCTTCGATCTCAAGACCACAAATAAAAAAATTTATTTCTTTTCCTTTTTCTTCCTTTCTTCTCCTTCTCTTTCTTTTCTTTTCTTTCCTTCCAAAATTCAAGAACCCAGCGTTAGTGACAGAGTGGGCTTTGTTATTTCTCTTTATAAGATCGTTCAAGCTGTTAGGAGATAGTTATGTCATTTGCTCTGGTTGACTAACCCCCTTCTTTCTAACTCCTCTGGAGTGCTAGTGTATTAAAGGCTCAATAATAAAGGACAAATGTTGTTTAAGTTGAAGATATTCAAAGATTGCGGGCACCTTCCAATAGCAGATGAGTGAGCTGCTCCTAGGTCTATTATATCACATTGTTGATGATCTATGAGAGCATCTCCAATAGATTCTCCAAAATGAAGAAAACAAAGATTTTGGGGATTTTGGACATGTTTTTTGCTCCAACAAATTTTCTAGAACCTTTCTCCAAAATGGATAAAGTAGGAGAGAGAGTGTAAAAATCTCCAAATTTGGAGAACACCCCAAAAAATTATTACACGAGAGAGATATTTTAAATATATTTCCACCAATAGGAAATTTTGAAAATAAATATTTAGAGAGAGAATATTTTATTAGATGAATGAAATATTTTACCAATATAATCAATGCTGTAATCTCCAAAATGGAGAATCTATTGGAGTTGAATGTATTTTTGTTTTACAGATTTAAAGTTCCATTCTCCATTTTGGAGAGATTTTGGAGAATCTGTTGGAGATGCTCTGAAAAATTCACTAATAAACTGCATAAGGGTCTAAATAGTGGCATAAGCACGCACAATCAAATATACCACCAGACTTGCCACAATATCTTTTATGGAAAGAGCTAGTGAGTTACTGGACATTCTCTCTTCTCACACTCATATTCTTCCCTTGAAACAAGAAGAAAATGGTAAATCTGGTGCTAATTTTGGTGGTCTTATTGTTTTACTTTTGTATCTGTGTATTTATTCACATTGAACAATAGGAAAGTTATATTTTAACACAAATGCCAAGCCAACCCGACCAGATCCCTTGGTCTCTAAAACCAAACTATTCCTTAGAAATGTATGACTACTATGGTTTCTTTGACCACTCTTAACGCATGAAATGATAAGATACAAAGCTTTTCCCTTGATAAACAATTTAGAGAGTATCCCTTGGATGTTGGAAGTTATAAGGTATGTAGACTTTTGATTTTAATTGGTTTTTAAGGAGAACAACTAAAGATTTTGCCAAGCATAATGTGTATATATTTTTATGTTTGTGTAGTTTCATAACTTGACCTTTGATATGTGATTTATTGTTTTTTTGTTTCAGCCTTCAAAGTGGTCCTTCAACTCTCATACACTTTTAAAATACAGCGAACAGGCGCCGAGGTGAAATTTTCATGCTCTTCATTATGTTCACACGTGAATACTACCCTATGCAATATATTACTTCCTATTCCAAATATTTTAGCAGTACGGGAAGGACATGTAAGAATCCGATTTTATATAGGTTTTACTTTTGAAAGGAAAACCTGTTGGACGAACGAGGAGAAGGGACCACCGAACATCCACATTATTCACTTTTTATAAAGACAAAGCTTTTGAGCTCCTCTTAAGTTGGGTTCACGAGTATTTGTCACGATAAGACTAAACTCAAAGACCAAGACAATAATGTTCACAAAGTCATATCTTCAGTTGCACAAGGTGCAAAGATCTTGGCATGCCATACGCATATGATGTACTTGCCCATGCCCCCATCTAGTTAAAGCAGTGTTCAAAAAACCACGCTGCCATGAGGCGCCAGTGTAAGACGTGTCTCCGCCATTACGATAAGGCCCATAATGTTTTTGTAAGGCCTTGCTCACGCAAGGGTGCTTTGAGTTTTTTACAAGACGTGATTTTTTTCAATTTTTTGTAACTTTTGTGTTTTTACACTTTCAACTTTAAATTTTATATTTTTACAAACTTAGTCACATCACTCATAGTTTTTTGGATTCACACATGTCACAGACTCACTGTTAAAACACAATTGTAGAACTCTTCCAATTCTATTTTGAATATCTGATCACAAACTTTTTATATAGTAGTTAATTTATATGAATGTAATTTTTTTAATATCATCATATTATTGAATAATAAATAGAAAACATATATGTATATATAAAATTATATATATGAGATACAAATTTGTCGTCTTATGTCACGCCTTAAAAAACTCTGCATCCTTGTGATCGCATGTAAGGCTTGAGGACGCCGCCACGCCACGCCATGCCTCCCGTCATTTTGAACCTTGAGATAAAGTATCAAAGAACTAAATTTGTCAAGTGATATGACACTATATTCATTCTATATCTCATTTGGGGTTTTATATAGACTGGAGAGCTAAACGTTCTCCTATTTAGAATTTAACCCAACTGAGATGATTACCATTTTGATTTTTGTTCCTCATGTAAATAGGAGGTAAGGTTCTTTCTCCTATGTCCTACCCAAAAAGATTTGATTCTTACTCGGTTTATATTTCTGATTTCAACACAAACCGATACTTGGTTGCGGGGCACTGGGTGAGCCATGTGCCAACATTATGTTTCTTCATAAATAATGTGAATCAACTATGGGCTTGCAATATAAATAAAGCCTGTTGGGCTTATTGTGTAATGTAGTTATTTTTGCTTTTTATTCATCTCCAAACTCATATTAAAGTTCTTTGTTGCAACTTAAAAACAGGACTCCAACATTTTCTGAAGATATCGGTGGTGTTGAGATAGGAGATGAAGAAGGTGTAAAGCCATTGGAGAGGTCCTTTTGGGCTAAATATGTGAGAAGTCTTTGTTTTTTATGCTCTATTGCTTTTACCATTTTAAATCTTTTTGGGAACATCTTGTGTTAATGATGAACTTGATCTTCATGATTCCCTTATTTCAGTGGATGTACTTGATTCCTCTTGGACTTATTGTGATGAATGCTGTCACCCAAGCCATGAACATGCCTGAGGAACAGGCTAGCGGTGCAGCAGGTGCCCAACCACAGCAGGCAGTTGCTGCAGGTCCCCGGGGACAGAGTGCAGCTGTACGGAGACGATGATGGTAATTCTTAAATCCACCTTTGTATTGATACTATGAAATGCATAGCTTTAGTAGGGTGGTTGTAGTTAGGGGTGTAAACGAGCCGAGCCCAGTCAAGTAGTTGGTTATTTGGGCTCGGCTCGAAAAAGTTATACCAGGCTCGATCTCGAATATTTTTTGAGTTATCAAGCTCGTGCTCGATGCTCGTTTACGGGCGATCGATTAACTCGTTTATTGACTCGAGGTTTATAATTTATATATTTTTATTGTAGTATTTAAGAACATATTAGGTGGTTTGGCTCGAAAAAGTATATGCTTGAATGGCTCGGCTCGGCTCATTTAATCGAGCTTTCGAACGAGCCAAGTCGACATTGGTTTTATGAAGCTCGACTCGTTAAGTTAAACGTGTTCTGTTTCATGCTCGAGACAAAAGAGCTCGAGCTCGAGTAGCTCGTTAAAAGCTCGACTTGTTTACACCCTAGTTGTAGTACTAGTATGTATTGTTAAATTCATGCATATTTGGCTTATTACAAAATACATTCTTCGATTGGCATTTAGAAACTGGCAAGTGCTGAAGTTGCATAGTAGTATTATGTGAGGCGCAAGGCGTTATCGAGGCGTATGCCTCAGATAATCTTCTTTGTAATGCTTTTTTTGGCTTTTTTATAAGCTTTATGGTAGCAATAGTACCTCTCTTTATAGTATGTGCCTTTTTTATTTTCAAAAACTAAAAACGCCTGGAACGAATTCACTGTCGTATGTCTGACCGGTGATTACTAGCGAGTCCAGCTTCAACATTCATACTGCCCTCTGACAAAAGTAGAACTTCAAACAGAAAATTATTTGATTCTTGCCTTTCAAAGAATTTCCATGATTGCCCTGGTGGATCTCTCTCTCATTTCAAAAAAGTCTGGAGATTTCGTGATCCGCCACCAAAAACTTATTCCAAGAGAGCTCTGATCAGATCGGAATGGCCCCAATGTGTACTTTTAGTATTTTAAAACCCAGAAGGCTAGTACTTCCAAAATGTGGTTTGACCCTCCTTCCTCCAAGCAACCAATTTTTTCACACCCTCTCAGCCTCTCTCATGGTTTCACTCTTTCCTCCATCAAGAACCCTAAACCAGCACCGTTAGTAATTTAGTATTACATATATTATATAAATGTATATATATTGTGTAGTATATATACATATTTTGGTGTATATATTTCTGGCTCGAAGCTTACGCCTGCTTCAAGGTCTGATTCCGCAATTTAAAACCTTGCTAATAACCGCCTGTTACAGGTAAGACCCATGATTTACTAGCGAGTAGCAACTATGAATCTGACTTCACTAACAATAATCACACGGGGACTTTGTTCTCAACTAATCACCTCTTTAACTTCCCACCTGTTGCTTTCTCTTCCCATTTTGACCGACCTCTTCATGTTGCTGAGATCGAGAATTTGGAATTTCTTTTCGCCTTACATATGTCTGCCATGGAAGACCCCCATCAGTTTGCACCCAATAGTCTATTCTAGTCTTTTCAGGTCTGTAACCTGGAGCTATCTCCAAATTAATTGCTTTAGTTCCTTCATAACCTCATTCTCGTCTTTGTGGGATTAGTGTCGAAAATCATAGGAGAATCTACTTGGCTTGTCAAAATTTGAAGAAAATCGAATGGTGATCGTCACTTTTAGATGCCTAAACCGCTTAGGACTTGCGAGAGACAACTAAATTGGCCCTTGAAACTGTTTTGAGGTCATAGAACAACATCCTTGGAGTCTCGTTTTCTTAAGGCAGTGTTTGGTACTCAGACAGGATTGGACAGGACGAGAGAGTAGGGATGGGACAGGTGGCGGCAGGCTGTGACTGGCTGTGGTGACCGTTAAAACAAATACCATATTAAGGTTATCTATCAAATGAGGGTAGATTAGTAATATTTTAGTATCCGTCTCATTTTTGTCCCAAATAGGTGGAACAAAAAAAATCTTTTTGTCCCACGCTGTCCACCTGGTCCTCTTGTCCCTGCCCTGTCCCTGTCCCTGTCCCATGTTTCCAAACGTGAGGTAAACGGATGAAAGAATTATGGAAGGTTTTAGGGTTTTAGTTTGACATGGGTAGTTTCGTAAATTACCAGACTTGTCTTATTTCCCTTATTTTTGTTTCACCTATTTCGGTGGGGTGGGAAAAAATGCATTTTCCGCCCCAGTCTAATTGTCGCACAAAACGTAGGACAAGTTTTTGTTATCTTCTGTGATATCTTGTACTGTTCAGCGTATCAAATGCACCTAAACTGCCATGGTTGCATTCGTGTGTTGATCCTTTTGGTTTAATAGCAGGATTCTTCAAGTAGCTGGCAATGGCATGGATGGTGGCGGTCTTACGGCAGCGGGGGCAACTTACCATTCGACTGTAGATGTTGTAGTTTTCTAATATGACAATGATACAGGCTTCATCCACTTGAATCAACCCATTCTTTGTGTTGAGATGATTAAAGGCATTGAGGATTTTGTTATAAAAGGGATTACTTTACTACTGAACTCTCCTTGTTTCATTGCATGTTTTCGCAATTGTTTTCATTTTAGGGTTCATATGATAACCACAAACGGTACTTTCCGATACTGCATTTGAAGCAGTTGTTCGAATTCCTTATGATATGCAACTGAAACAAGTTCTTGCTAATGGTAAAAAAGGGGGTTTGAATGTAGGGGCTGTTCTTGTTTTACCAGAGGATTTTGAATTATCCCCTTCCGATCGTATTTCTCCCGAGATAAAAGAAAAGATGGGCAATCTGTCTTTTCAAAGCTATCGCTCCAATCAAAAAATTTATTCTTGTCATAGGCCTTGTTCCTGGTCAGAAATATAGTGAAATCACCTTTCCTATTCTTTCCCCCGACCCCGCTACTAAGAAAGAGATTCACTTCTTAAAATATCCTATATACGTAGGCGGAAACAGGGGAAGGGGCCAGATTTATCTTGATGGGAGCAAGAGTAACAATACAAGAGAGCTGATTTTATAGTATGTATCTATTCAATGAATATACGATATATAAGCCAAATCAAATATGAACTGTCTAAATGTTACACACTGTACAAACTAATCTCATTCATCCATACATATTATCAAATCGATGTCAACGATGTGGATTAAATTGGTTCTGAAATTTGCTTTCAGCCTTATCTATAGCTGGTTTGGTAATTGCCTAAAAAATTTAAATTACACAAGATCAATGGCTAAGATTGGTTTGTATGGTCTGTAACATGTAGGTGGTTTGTATTGTATTTGTTTCTCTCTCTCTTTATATATATATATATATATATATATATATATATATATATATATATCTATACTATATTATAAAACATTTGATAAGACTCTTAAAAATCATTTTTTATGCATAGTGTTTGGATGCATATTACTTAAAATTTAATATTACAAATAGATTGTACGTAAATACAACTTATTAAAATTTTATTTTTTAATCTATATAACTAACTGCAGATAACATAATAAAATACTGGATAAACATTTTATTTTAACTATAAAAAATTAAAATATAATCAAGATAATCTTTAACTTTTAACAGAATAGTTAATCGTCATCCTTATAAAAATTACTAGTAGTTCCCAACAAATGAATCCAGTGTCGCCGGAGGAATTTCTTGCTGAAAAGCCCGAAATCATTATCGGATTTCCCCGCCACCGGACCCACCTTCTGTTGCTCAGCCGGAATCTCCATTTGCAAGACCTTAGACATGTCCATTGCCGGCTGATTAGCTTGTTTAGCCACCAAGGCGGTGTAACGGGCAGTTTCCGGCATCTTCATCCTCCAGTAGTACGTTAGCAATGCCGGAAATGCACCAACCATCAGAATTATCCTCCACACGTAATCCGCCTCCGGAACCGTCGACCTTATTGGATCCACCTCATACGACGGCGCTTTAAACCGCGCATCAAACACGGACGACATGATGATCGCAAACATCCCACCGGCTAAAATCCCAAAACCTTGCATCGCAAACACCGCCGCGGTAAACCCTCCTCGTTTTCTTATTCGAATACTCCGACATGATCGTAGCGGATGATGGGTAATCATCACCGATCCCGAACCCTAACCAGAACCGGAAAAAGCAAAGAGTAGCCATCACCAATTTAGGGTTTCTCCAAAACGACAAACCAGAAGCAATAGAGCAAAGACACATTAACATGAGTGTAATTCCGTAAACCTTCTTCCTCCCCAGTTTATCGCCGAGACACCCATAAAACAGTTGGCCGGCTAGGGTTCCGACCAGAGCTACACCGTTGATGGCTGCGGAAACATTGGGAGGTAACATTCCCGGCTTCAATGAGCTGGGTTTGTGATAGTAAATCCGGCCGAGCATCTTGGTGAAAAAACCCATTCCGGCGATGACGACCGCCGTGAAGTGATACCATTGGGTTTTTGCGCCGTCGAGTGCAGTAAGAACTTGTAGATTTCTGGATGCCATCTTTGAAGTAGATTTGTGGATCATCTGAATCGATTATTACGATGTTTTTAACCTTTCCAAATCGATTATTACGACTTCTATGTTTTGTATAACTAAAAGGGTATTTGTGTAATTAAATGAGATACATCTTAATTTTAATGTTTTATTTTATTATTATTTTTGTTTTAATCGATATTATAACATGATTATACGTCGTTTTGATAAAAATGTAATGTTTTTAATTTTAAATAAAATATAAATATAAAAATATCATAAAATTTT